CTGAGTTCTTGTACTGACTTTCCACTTGACCTAAGGCATGAATCTAGGTATTGCAGGATACAGTGTGCACATATACCCTGGTCTTTCAGAAGGATTGCTATTCTGCCATCCAAAACAATCCAAGCTACTGAATTGAATTTGATACACATGCCCCTAGGGCCAATGTGGTTGTCATTGATTGCTTTTGCTAGCCAGGGACAAATTGCAAATCTAATTGGATGACTTCCAGTGTAGGAATAATTGCCTCAGAACATATCTAATTAACTTATTTGTTTTCCTGTGGGATCCCTCCATTCCTTCAAGAATAATCTTCCTTAAACACTTGATGAAGGTCTCTTATGACCACTTCTAATTACATGTCACAACATTTCTTGTTAATTCTTGATTTTTATACAGGAAGTACTCTACAGCTACACATTCCTTTAGGGTTGCTTCTTTAAACAGTGCCCTGTTTAGAACATCCCCCCTGCCAACTAAAGTTGAGCATAGGATGACAATTTCTCTAGTGTGCCATCTTGGTTGGCCGTAGGCTTCTCACTTCAGTTCATGTAATTAGTACCTTATTTTGGAGAGTGTACCTGAAGGCAAACAGTACAATCTGTTCTGTTTTATCTGTGCCACCAGTTAGGTGGCATTCATTCGTCCTTTGGAGTGACTGAGTGATAGATGTAGGAATGGGAATAGAACAGATATCTGGAGGTACTGACAAGTGTTTCTCATGAGAGAATCAAGGACTGAGCATCCTCTTGTTCCCAAAGAAGTTGTTGTATGAGGTTAAGGAAAATAATAGTAGAGTTGTCTGGCAGGGTTTGGGCAGGTCCTGTTGAGTCAGTTAAATTTAGAATGCTTGATTGGCTAGTGGTAATTTTACCAGAGGGTTTTCTTTTGGGAAGAAAGCTCCAGGTATGATCTCAAAGATAGATTCAATATCTCCTTCTTAACCTTCTGGAATGTATTTGTCTCAGGTGCCAGGGTTGTTAACATCCTTTCACTGTCACAAAATCTGTGTATCATGTATCAGTATTTAAGGCCTAGTTTTGGGAATGGTTAGGTGCAAGAAGAAAAAGGATATTTTAATTAAACTTACAGAGATCTTTTTATGTTTCCTACTTTGATCCACAAGGTGCCGACACTGGAGGCTGTGACGTATAGTGTATTGAACCAAGTCTGTATTGTCTTCCCTATCTTCTTTGGAGAAATTGTCTATTTCCATTTTTATTCTCTCCCCTCTTTGTGGTGCTGGGGATCAAACTCAGGGCCCTGTGCATACTAAATACATACTCTACTGTTGAGCTATACCTTAGACCCTCTTTGCTCAGTTATGGTTTAAGGGCTTAGGTTTTGTTTTTGTTTGTTTGTTGAGATTGGGTCTCATGTAGTTCAAGCTGGTCTCTTTCCTTCTGTAGCCAAGGAGGATGGCCTTGAACTTCTCATGTTCCTGTTTCTACCTCCTGAGTGTATTATCATGATAGCTAACACTCTGCCAAATAAGCTATGTCCCTGACTCTCTTAGTATTTTGAGTTTCCTGTTTTGGGGGTAGGTTTGAAGGCAATTTTATTAGAATTTAAAGGAAAAATCCTAGGGCAAGCAAGCTATAAATTGTGGAAGCTTCCTAGAGGAGGACAATGGAGAAGTGAAGGGGGGGGGACAAGCAGCTTGAGTGGGCTAAAAGGTAAGCTATGTGGCAGCAGGCAGCCACATGGCATAGTGGGGGCTTTATGGAAACCATAGGGAAACCTAGAGTGTCAGGGAAAGCACACTTAGAGACAGAAAGATGAAAAAGAAGTTACCCTTCATAGTAACGCAGAAAAGCAGGTCAACTTAATAAAACAAAGCTGCTGAGGTCTGTGAAAGACTATCTTGAATTGTTTTTTGAGGGAGCTGTTCCGGCATTTAGCAGTAGAAGATGCTTGTGGGTGGAGAATGTAGAAGGCTGTTAGTACTTCAGCTAACAGTCCATTGTTGAGTGACTTTTGTGATTCAAAAATACATTGCTAGATTGTAAATGTTATAGTTAAAAAAAAAACAAAAACCCTGATACTATCAAGGGTTACAGTAGTGTGGCTGATCAGGTAGTTCGGTTGGGATAGCCAATACCAGACCTGGCAAAAGAGTTAAGAGTGAGGACCAATAAAAGGTAGAAGGACGATAGCCAAGGTCCTATAGAGCAAGTTTGCTACTAGCATGTAAAATGACTCTTTCCAAGACTCACAGTTCTGGGAAGGGGTGGCAGCCTCTGGGTTAGGAATGAAATCAATCATATTAGATCTGCTTTGATGGTAGATATGTTGTGTTCAGTATGAAGATGGTTTGGCAGCAGTGGGCAGTATAGACATCATTGTTTATTGGACAGTGACTTTTACTAATGAACATTTGTGTGAAAGCCCATGTGGTTCAGTCTTCAACTAAATTAATCTCCACAGTTTGTGAACAGTCTGTGAATTATGTCACTTTGAGTTATATCATGCTTTAGTTTTTTAAGAGGTGGCTCAGAAAGCTAGGACATTGGTACCAGTACAGGATTCAGCAAAATAAAAGAATGTTCTCCAGGAGAATTTTGGCTAGGTCTATGAAAATGTCTTTGAGTTCTGCCCCAAAGACAAAGCAACAACTTTTTTTCTATTGTGTCTCACCTGCACCGAGGTTGAACAGTATGGAAGCTTGTTGGACACCTGTTGGACATTTGTAGGCTTTGAGTCTTTGAATCGTCACTGATGCAGGCCCAGGCACTTAGAGAATCACTGAACCAACAGCTGCATCAGGCCAGCAGAACAGGCAGAGCAGCAAGGCTTTCATCAGGGATGCCTTAGGAGAGAGCCTGGCTGTGTTATCTCTCTCTGTCCCCCTCAGAGTCCAAGGCCCACAAGTGCTCTACCACTGAACTGTCTCCCTGCCCTTAGCTGCATTCTTAAATATGCCATTTCCTTGTGATGAGAAGGTTGTTGGCCCCTTTCCAATCTTGTTTGTCATTGGATTTCAATAGACATTCTAAATTCGGGATCTTTTCAACATAGGAATATTTCGTAGTTGTGTCAGGGAGGCATTGAATCAAATTAGAGGCCACTGCAGTGGTGATTGCTTTTACTAGGAACATTGGTGAGTGATGTCTCTGCACAGAGAGACTTGTACTGAAAGGGGTCATAGAACGTAAAATGTTAAAACCACTAGTGCATTTCTTTATGGGCTCTGTTTAGTGGCCATAATCTCCTCTTGGATTTATGAGCATTCACAGTATAGGCTTGTATAATATAGACAACAATTGTGTGAACTCAGCCGTGAAGGCCACAGTGGCAGTACATTAAATGGCTTCCAAAGGCTCAACCAAGAAAGAAAGCACATTAGCTTCCCTTCTCCACTGAGAACTCCATTCAGAGCACTCCACTCAAAGGACTCCACTCAAATCTATCCCCATGAAGGAGTTGCTTTTCTCTATACAACAGTGCCATACAGTTTTGGACTGGCCCCCTAAAATGATTTATATTTGTGTGAGGTGACATCTCTGATTATTTTTCTCTTTAAAGTGGCTGAAGGAGAGTTAGTTTTTGAGGGTGGTAGAGTTAGTAGGGTGAGGGTAATATTGGGAGAGAACAGCTTTGCACCAATTCAGTTTTGAGTGGTGTGGTAACTTCATGCTGATTAATAGAAACTGTTATTTTTTGGTCCACCCCCAGTCCCATATACTGTGGAAAGAACCAAGTCAACAGCTATGGTCATACTAATTTTTGGCAGAGGCAATGAGGTTTTGTACCCTTTCATTGACTTGGGTTCAGTCTATATGTAGTATCGTTGTTTTTAAAAGTCTTACCTTACTGTTGCTTATTGCTCATGGACACAATGGCATCTCTAAAATTCTTGATGAAAACCAGACATGGTTGTGGTGATATTTTGTTTATAATCTAACAAATAAAGTTTGCCTAAAGATCAGACTGCAAAGCTAGCCACACTAGCCATAGAGGCCAGGCAGTGGTGGTATACACCTTCAATCCCAGAAGCAATACTAATTAGCCATAGAGGCCAGGTAGTAGTGGTACACACCTGTAATCCCAGCACTGGGGAGACAGAGGCAGATGAATCTCTGTCAGTTCAAGGCCACCCTGGATTACACGAAAATGATTCAGGCTCAACAGGGCTGCATAGTAAGGCAGTATCTCAAATAAAAAAACGAGGATGTGCCATCCATTTAGTCATCATTTCCTTTTCAGTGCTAGGAATCAAACCCAGAGCCTTGTCTATGCTGGCAACCACTGAGCCCTTCCCAGCTTGCTATCCAGTTTGTGAATTTTGATGACTAAATGAGTTGAAATATATTTTTATTTGCTGAGGTGGAACTCAGGAACTTGTACATGGTGGCAAGTGAGTTATATCCTTAGCTCCTCCAAAAATGTTTTATTTTAAAAACAATTTCATAGGCTCCTGCTAGGCAGACTGAACCAGATATGTAGGAGGCTTGCTGATAACTAGAACCTTTGCTCTTACAGTATTTTTTCCTTCCATGTTGTCTGCCATGTGCAGTTCTTTCTGCTTTCAGTAATTTCCCTATTTGCCTCTTGTACTTTTATCTTTTAAAGCCTGTCAGTCCGTAAAGCCTTTAAGTGAAGCCCTTTTAACCTGCTTGCTCTGCACACACTTATAGTAATTCAGGTAATCTGCGTGTGTCTCTACAGTGCTTCTATCATTGCTTGTGTTCACTGATTTGTTGTTGTTGTTGTTGTTGTAGCTGTTACTAAAGTAAGAGTGACCAGGCAGACCTCCTCTCTCCTTCCACACATTCTAGGTTTCTTGGAGACAATTTTCCTCTAATAGTTGCTTTAGAAAATCTATTAAGTATTTCCTGATTTGAGCCTTAAGGAAATTAATTTACCTAATTTTGAAAGAAGACATACTTACTAGAAAAAATAGGTACAAGATACAGTCCCATGGTCCAATACATATGGACAGCACATACATTATCTACTATACCAAATAATATTTTCTTGCTCTATTTAAATTTAAAATATAGACTGTGGATATTCATAAAGAAAAAGTGGCTCGAAGAGAGATTGGTATTTTGACAACAAATAAGAATACATCAAGAACTCACAAAATAATAGCACCTGCAAATATGGAGCGCCCTGTCAGGTATATTCGGAAACCTATCGACTACACAGTTCTGGATGATGTGGGCCATGGAGTTAAGGTAAGCATTTTGTGTTACATAAGTGTGAATTATTTTGAATTTTCAATAACTATTTTGGATAGAAATTGTGATAGGATTTTCTTATTTGGTAGATTTCCCTTTAGCTAGCAGTTAGTATTATAATTTTATAGAGTATTTATTTATTTTAAGGATATAGTGTATGAATGTTTTGCCTGTATATGTATATATGTACTGCATGCATGTCTGGTACCTTTAGGGGTCAGATGAGGGCATTGGATCCTCTAGATCCCCTGGAAATGAGTTATGGTTAGCTGTGAGCCACTATGTGGATGCTAGGAAGTGAAACTGGGTCCTCTGCAACAAGTGCTCTTAACTGCTGAGCCATCTCTCCACTCTAGAAAATTAATAAGTCACATGTTTGACTCAGCTTGGAGTAGAATTTTATCCACAGAATAGATACTATTCAGAAAAACTTAAAAACTTGAAAAAGCTGGGCTGCTAAGATGGCTTAGCAGTAAAGGCACTTGCACCAAACCTTTTGACCTCAGTTCTATTAGACCCTTCATGGTGGAAGAAGAAAACTGACTCCCGGAAGTTTTCCCTTGCTCTCCTCCATACATAATGCTGTGTTACTTGTACCACAAACAACAACAACAACAAAAACCCAAACACTTGAAAAAGCCATTCTTTAAATCATAGATTATGATTGGTTTAGAAAATAATTTGAATAATTTGGCCTTTTATTCCTAAATGTTTGTGTACCTATGTGGTTTTTCTAAGCACTAAAAAGTTGCAAATATTAAAATGCTTTTTAAAAAAGTGCTTATTATGGTAAGATGCATATTATCTCCAATTTTTACTAATCATTTTTAAGTATATACTTCTGAAATATAATCACATTGCTTTGGTAACTAAATGTTTTAGACCAAGACTTAGAGTGGGGTGGCCAGTGAAAACAGTGTATTTTAGAAACTGGCATGTGTTGGTAGAGTGCTTGCCTAGTATCAATACAACCCTGGATTTGATCCCCAGCACAGTGGTGGTATAGTGTTACAGTCCCTAGCACTTGAATAGTGAGGCAGGAGCTCAAGATCATCCTTGCTCACTTAGTGAGTTTGAGGTTAGTCTGATGTATGTAAAACCAATATGAAGCTGATAAATGGCAAGTTTATCTGTATATAGTCAAACTATACACATACACAACTACTTTCCCCCCGGTCTTATTACTGCTTTATTTTCTTGGTTTTATGACTTCTGTAAGAGTTTTTATACTCTCTTGTCTTATAGATAAGAATTGAAGAAATTTAGAAATAATACCAGAGTTGGGTATGGCAGGTGCATCTTTGAGTTCAGGGCTAGCCTGCTCTAATGAGTGAGTTTCAGGGATCCAGGATTATGTAGTGAGGCCCTGTCTTAGAAGAAATACTACTAGTACTAGGAGGAAGAAGGAACAGGACAACCACAAGCTTAAAGGCCAGCCTGATCTACACAGTGTGATCTGGGTCAGCTGGGCCACACAATGAGACTGTCTCAAACAAACAAACAAACAAACAAACAAACAAACAAACACCCTGACTAACCAGTCCCCTTGCTGCTTAGTCTAAAAAAGTCCAAAGAAATTTGGGTATTCATTAATGATAAAGTTTGAAATTATGAGGCAGAAAGAATTAAATTTATTTTAAAATGAGGATTCTAAGTATAGACAAACCCTACTAGCTCCTGTAACAACAACAACAACAACAACAACAACAACAACAACAATAATAATAGAAATATGAATCAAAGACAAATAATACTGAAGTTTTCCTTTTTTATTAAAATTTTCTTCATACAATGTATTTTGATCATATTTTTTTTCCCCTAACCTCAACTCTTCCCAGATACAGTTTGATTTCTTTTCTTTTCTTTTTTTTTTTTTTTTTTTTTTTTTTGGTTTTTTGAGACAGGGTTTCTCTGTGTAGCTTTGGAGCCTATCCTGGCACTCACCCTGGAGATCAGGCTGGCCTTGAACTCACAGACATCTGCCTGCCTCTGAGTGCTGAGATTAAAGGCATGTGCCACCAACGCCCGGCTCCATACTCTTAAGATTAATATTCTATCTTATTTGTGATACAAATCTTAGTGTTTTGGAATTAATGTATGCTATACTTGGGCTTCTTTTAAATAGATTTGCACATATAAATAGCATTTAAGGTATTACATTTTATTCTGAAAAGCATATGGTATCTATAATTTTATTACGAATTTAACAACTAAAGTAAATCTGGCTAGTTTTGGGAAACAGAGTGAGAATACTGATGGGAGAAGCCCAGCATGCAAATCAAGGAAGCAAAACAAAGCTATTTTATTGATTGTAATTAGTTGGTGTTTTCCAAGGTAATGTCTCTAAGGTTAACTGTGGCTTTCTGGTCAGTTTTGGAGTTGAGTTTTAGTTTGTTTTGTAGGAATCCAGAACACCAGGGCTGTCTCAGCTATAATAGTCTCTCAATTTTTGTTTTTTTAATTTTTTTTTCAGACTTAGTTTTGTATCTTGAGTGTTTTGCCTTTATGTGTATGTGTACCATGTGTGTAGATCATGTGTTTGTGCCACCTATGTGTACTACTTGTGCGAACTGTGTGTGCTTGTGTGTGTGTACTGTGTGTACCACGTGTGTGTATACATGTGTTTGGTCCCTCTGGAGATCAGAAGAGGACAGAGATAAGTCAGTTGTGAACCACTGTGAATGTGTGTGATGGGAACTGGACTCTAGGGCCTGTGCAAGGGCAACAAGAGCTCTTAACGGCTGAACTATCTCTGGCCCACCTCTTCTGATTTTATTATTTTTAACAGTATAGACACTAACCTGTTATAACATCTATTCAAGGGTGTGGATTTAAAACAGCTTCAATTTTATTAAGATGAGCTAATCAGTTACTTCAAAGAAAGAATTGGTCTCATTGTCATTTGACAATTACCTCTAGAAAAATAGAGTGTACTCAAAGAAAATTCTATTGTTTTTAACTTTATATTCCAGGGAAATGGTGAAATTATTCATTCATAAATTTAATTGTTTGGAGAAAGAGATCTTAAGGAAATACAAGTCTTGTTTAAGTTTGGTTTGAGAACATTTAAGTAGACATTTCGTATACAGTATTGTCAGTTGTATTTTGAGTTTTAAGAGTCAGATTAATTTTACAACATTCCTCATTTGGAATACATTCACACATAAACTTTAATAGAGGAAGCTTGAACAAAGGTTGAAAGTTACACAGTTGTTTAGTTGCATAGTTATATTCAAGACCCATTTCCTATTTAATTTTCTTGTTTCCTCATTTGGGAACAGATAACATGAAAATGCTGAGCTTTTTTTTTTTTTTTAAAGTTGAAAGAAATGACGTGAGAGTGTACTTAGAATACTTTTTTTGTGCAATTGTATATGAGACATGCTATATATATATAATATATATATATAACATATATATAATGCAGTACACTAGTGTATCTTATCAAGAATCTTAACTAAATAATCTTTCACACCTCGTTATGTGATGGTGTGATTAGGTAGGGTTCCAGGCAATGTTCCCATGTGACAGTGAGAAATACCATTTCAAATAAAAAGGAATACCAGTTTATATAAATAGGAAGATACCTGAATTCTTCCATAAGATTTTATTTAATGTTGCTTTTGAGGTCATCTTAAAAATGGTAGATACTTGTGAGAACAACAGATTTTATTGATAGAAATTGAAATCTCAAAACTTCATAGACAAACTATAGAAACATGTTTTTTTTTCTGAATGGCATAGTGTAAGGATTGACACATACATTGTTTCAGGTGTGTTAGCTGGTCATCTCTCACAGAAGTAGCCTTTAGGATCAAAGTAGCTTTTCTTTAATTTAGAATTTTGACTGAACCCTCCAATAACAACAGCAGCATATAGCTTTCTAGTAGTGTGGGCTTGCTCAAGACTTAACGTAGTCTAGAAAAGTTTCCAGACTATTTATTCTTCAGTTAGATTTTGGCTAAGCTACCAGTAGATGATTTCATTTCTGAATTTTTGTTTCTAAGTATTGTTTTTATTCTTTGTCAGTTTTATACATATGCATATATTATCTTATTCATAATACACCACCCATGTTTTTGTTTTGGGGGTAGGGTTTTTTGTATCCCAAACTGGCCTCAAACTTGCTGTGTAGCTGCACCAACCTCCCAAATTCTGGGTTTTCAGAAGTATACCACTGTACCTGGGCTATGTGATGCTGAGAGGGAAACCCAGTATTCCTGGTGCTGCACAAAACTCTGCCATCTGAGCTACATTCCCAGGTTTTAGTCAGGAATTCATGATTTCATTTTTAAATACTGAGGTGTGCTAGGCCACATCCTTTTCTGAATTGAAAACAACTTGAGAGTTTTTATTTTTATTTTATTTTGAGACAGAGTCTTACTATGTAGCTCTATTTAAGATTGATTTTTTTTTTTCTTTTTTCTTTTGAGACAGGGTTTCTCTGTGGCTTTGGAGGCTGTCCTGGAACTAGCTCTTGTAGACCAGGCTGGTCTCAAACTCACAGAGATCCACCTGCTTCTGCCTCCCGAGTGCTGGGATTAAAGGTGTGCGCCACCAACGCCTGGTTAAGGTTGATATTTTTATAGCATTATACTACCACTCAAATAATGCCTTGGGCATTCATTGTCCAATAAAGTGTTAGATCTTGTATACTGATAATTAAAAATAGATTTATGCCTTTTGTATCATTGTAGTTTACTTAAAGTCAAATTAAAAACATTTTTATTTTTAGTTATGTATATATGTGTATATAGGGGTGTGTGTGTACATGAGTGGAGGCCAGAAGAGGGTATTTGATCCTTTGTTACTGGAATTACAAGTGGTCATGCAGTGCCTCATGTAGGTGCTGGATACTGTCACTTACAGTTACATTACATAGTTTTAACTGCTGAGATGCCATTCCACTCTCTGTCGTCTGTAATTCAGTTGGATTAGATGCAGGGGTTAAATGCTGACCTCAGAAATTTTGAGGCCTGTTTGAGATTGTCTTAATTATTAATTAGTTGGTAGTTTCCTTAGAAAGTTACTTCTTTTTAAAAGTACATGTAAGATAGATCTGGTGACAAAAGCCTGCAATCCCAGCTACCTGACAGGTTGAGGCAAGAGACTCATAAACTCAAGTTTTGTCTGGGCCACAAAGTCCGTTCATGGCCAGTCTGGGAAACTTAGTGACTGGATGTAACACATTGGTAAAGTGTTTTACTAACATGTGCAGCCCTGAGTTCAATTTCCTGTGCTGCTGGAAAATAAGTGTAACACACAAACATTTCCCTAGTTCTTATAGATACTTTTGCAGTGTATTTGAAATATGGCTGGATAAAGCTTGTTAACATGAATTCAGTAATATAAATGTCAACCTGTCCTGTCAGATGCAATTTACCTAGAATTAATTTCTACTTTTTCCCCTCTTTTTTGTTTTTGCCAACATAAAGTGGCTAAAAGCCAAGGTAAGAGACTTACTTATCATTTGATCCACAGTACTTCCTCTATGTTGACAGAGGCTGCAGAGCCACTAAAATGTGAAAACTCTTATGTCTGTCTGCTTTTTTCCTGTAGGATTTACATAGATTAAATATGCTCAAATTTAGTCAAATCTCAGCGTTTAGCTTGGCTGTGTTAATATATCCAAGATATATTGATGTTTGCACTTTAGGAACATTAATCTTGCTAACAGTTACTGCTTTGCTCATGTTTTTACAGTTGCTTTGCTTCCATTGTTTGAGAGTTAGGTTTCCCAGACGTCATATGTGATTTTGTTGCTGAATTATTAGTAAAAAGATTATATTTGAGATGAGTATGTTAGCAGATTTACAGCTTTTATGGTTTACATTTATGCACATATAAATGTTTATTCAAGCATTTTAATAATTCTGATTCTTGAATACAGATAAGATTGATATCAGTAAATATGTCTAACAAAATATAAAATTTAGTAGTCTTACCTGTATTTTGCATAAATTGATATGAATAGCCCAAAATGATAGAAGAACTGAATGCAGGTGGCTTTTGAACTTTTAAAATATAATACCAAACTGTATTAGTGCTGTCTGGGAATCCTTACTTCACATTCTGATATTAAGGAAAAGACATCATGTTAAAACACCAAGAGTACAAGTTGATACAAAAATAAAATCTTTCTTTCCACATTTTAGCACGGAAATAACCAGCCTGCAAGAACTGGCACATTGTCGAGAACAAATCCTCCCACGCAGAAACCACCAAGCCCTCCTGTGTCAGGCCGAGGGACTTTGGGGTATGAATTCAAGTGCATTCTACAAAGAATTCCTGAGACTTAAGTGCTTGCATCCTTGTTTTGTGTTTTCTCTTGTGGTACTACCCTTTACATTCATTTATTCTGTGTGTGTGTGTGTGTGTGTGTGTGTGTGTGTGTGTGTGTGTGTGTGTGCAGGCGCGCACCACGCATGTGTGGGGAGGTCAGAGAGCAGCTTGTGAGGCCCGTGGGTCCAGTGAGAATGCTCTGGGTGTCAGCCTGGCAAGGTACTGGCACCTTCTGAACCATCTTGCTAGCTCAGACTGATACTGATTTTTTTCCTTTCCTAAACAGAATCCAAAATGAATCTGCCTACTTTACTCTGTGTGTGTGTGTGTGTGTGTGTGTGTGTGTGTGTGTGTGTTGTGTGTGTGTCTGTGTGTGTGTGTCTGTGTGTGTGTGTGTGTCTGTGTGTGTGTGTGTGTCTGTGTGTGTGTGTAGCCCAGAGGACAATCTCATGCTTTACCCTCAGGAAAGCTGTCCACCTCCTTAAAGACAGGCTCTCTTACTAGCCTAGAGCTCACCAATGAGGCTAGATTGGGTGGATAGTAAGCTAGATTGCCTGTCTCTACCTTCTTAGCTTTGGGATTGTGGGTGCTGCCATGCCAGATATTAATAATCTTTTTCATATGTGTAAATGAGTATCAGTTTTTGTTTCTGCATTTAAAAAATGTAAATCTTCTTTGCATGTTATTTTAAATGGATTATCCAAGAGTTTCTTATAGTGCCTTCACACATATTTATGGCACTCCTCCCCCCCCCCAATGGTTTCTCTGTGTAGTCCTAGCTGCCCCAAACTAGCTCTTGTAGACCAGGGCGGCCTTAAACTCACAGAGATCCACCTGCCTCTGTCTCCCGAGTGCTGGGATTAAAGGCATGCATCACTTATGACATTTTTGAATAAGTGGTGTGCTTTGTGTAATTTGCCTTAGTAGTCTCTGTCTTCTGCTTCTTCTGTTCCACCTTACACTGAGGACTCTACTGAAGTGGCTCCAAGTGTAGCAGCTACTCACAGACCCCTTTACACCAGAGTAGCTTTTTGGAAAGCTGTAAAAAATAGTGGTAATTTCTGGTCCCCTGTTGGTGGTAGTAATTGTATCAGTATTTTCCAAGATGTTAATGAAAGATTAGTTATTTGGAAATACCATATTAGATTTCTTGCTTTTGTGGAGGGGTCAGTTAATAGCCAACTTTCTTTTTTGTGGTGGTGGTTTTACTTTTTTTTTCCCCCTGAAGAAAGGCTTATGAGTGACTAAGCTGGGTATAATGTATTTTAATAATATATGTTATTAAGCATTAAAGAGTAAAGCCATTATTTTTAGTGATGTTAGAAATTTAAGTGATCATTTCCAATAATTTTCCCAAGAAAGAACAACACATTTTATTTTATGTTAAAACAGCAAAATTTTTATGTCACAATTAAAGTTTTTGTTTAAATTACTATTAATTTTTTTTCTGTCATTAGAGAGTGTAGCTCATGCTATCTACTTTAGAGATTAGAGGACAACTTTGTAGGGTGTGTGTGTGTGTGTGTGTGTGTGTGTGTGTGTGTGTGTGTCTATGTGTGTGTTCCCATGTGCAGGCACCCCCCATGTGTAAATTGATGTGTTCTAGGATTGAAAAAAGATCTCTAGGCTTGGGTGACAAGCACCTTTACTGTCTGAGCCATCTTGCCAGTCTTAACTATTTTTAAATTAAAACTGGGGAAAAAATTCTGTTATAGATAATTCAGATAGAGATTGTTACAGATTTGGGAAGGCAGTTATTTTGTCTTTCTCATTCATTATCCATTTTTCCATTCTTCTTCTCTAGACGGAATACCCCTTACAAAACGCTAGAGCCTGTTAAGCCTCCAACAGTTCCTAATGACTACATGACTAGTCCTGCAAGGCTTGGAAGTCAGCATAGTCCAGGCAGGACGGCTTCTTTAAATCAGAGACCAAGGACACATAGGTAAGCCTTCTGTGTGAACATCTGAACTCAGAGTATATGGTGCTGACTGGTGAGTGATGAGTTTTAAAGACACAGCATACAAAATGATGTACTACTTTAATGCTAATAATAAATGTAAAGGTTATGGCATTCTTCATATTTCTGATCACATAAAACTTCAGTTTTTCTTTGTCAATTGTTTTTGTTTGTGTATATTATTAGTAGGATATATTTCCTCTTTTTGACAGATACAAGTACATATTGGGATTAAAACTAAAGAGTGTTTTTAGAAGCTAAAGGTGTAGCTAAGATAGCATAGTGTTTGTCTAACATACAGGAAGTTCTGGGTTTGATCCCTAGTACCATAAAAGCCAGGCATGGTGAGGTACATTGTAATCCTACCTCTGGGGAGATGGAGGCAAGAGGTTATCCTCAGCTACATAGTGAATTTGAAGCCAGCTGTGATACATGAGACCTTGTCTAAAAAAACAAAAACAAAAAGATAAAGCTTAATTTTTTTCTCTCTTAAATATGCATATAAGATAGGCTTTTGACTTTTTTGCAACAAAGTGTGTTTTAGTAGTAACCTTGCGCCTCATCATCCCCATCCTCCTGACCCAAGAATGGTTTTCCACATGTCTTTAAATGTCATAAAGGTAGGGTTAGGATTTGTATAGCTCAGTGGTATTATCCTTGGTATGTGTAAGGCCTCTGGGTTCATTTACTAGGAACTCCCATTAAAGGGGAGAGGGCAGGGAAATACTCTTAAATGCTTTTAGACAAAAGGTTAAATGTCATAGAAGTTCCGTGGCTCAGTTGGACCCTGAGAGATCAGAGGAAGAACACTTAACTTGTTTCTGGACAGCGCTGGTAAACTAGGGTGTGTTAAAAATCCTCTAGAGAACAGCTGCCCAATGGGCTTTATAAAGGATCTACCTTGGCTGCTGAATTAATTACAGGGTCAGAGTATGTTTTTTCCAAAGTGGAATCTTATTCAACCACTAGTTATTTAGAATGACTTTATTAAATACCAGTCGGTAACATATAAAACATAGTATTGTTGATTTTTCCAGATGCTCATTGTGTTGAAATACAAACATCTTTTTTAAAAAAAAATTTAGAAATGTATCCTAGAAATGTCATTATGTCAGGATTTATGGGTTACTTAAGCACTGTTGCAAATATATTGACATGGCAGACAATATGTAAATGAATCAGCATGGCCATGGCCTAGTAAAATTTTACTTATGGTACTAAAATTTGAATTTCATATAATTTTAATGTTTTCAAAAATATCATTCCTCTTTTGAGTTTTCCCTCACTATTTAGGGGGGAAAAAGTTAGCTCATAGGCAAAATTTGGGCTTTTGTCCAGTTTTAGCTCACAGGGTATACTTTGCTACTACTTACCCTGTGTTACATAAGAAACACTGAAGTCAGGAATTGCAGAAGAGCTTAAATGTACATATATTCCTAGGTCTGACACAAAGCTGAATATTGAGTTCCTGGCTTGAACGAGTTGAGAATCTCATTTAAGCTAGTTTGTTCTGTCAGTGGATTTTTTTTTTTTTTTTTTTTTTTTTTTTGGTTTTTCGAGACAGGGTTTCTTTGTGTAGTTTTAGAGCCTGTCCTGGCACTCGCTCTGGAGACCAGGCTGGCCTGGAACTCACAGAGATCCGCCTGCCTCTGCCTCCCGGCTATCAGTGGATTTTTAAATGTATTTTATTACAATGTGATTATCCAGTTGTAAATTGATTATATTGGAGAGTAAAATAATCTTACCGAGGCACTATAAATCTTTGCCTTCTTGGGTTTGTGGGCATACTGATCAAACCATATTGGTTTTGAAATATAGTATGAGCCAGGCACTGTGGTGGTGCGCATTTGGAAGGCAGTGGCTGGAGGATCCTTTGAGATTAGAAGTTTGAAATTAGCCTAGGCAACATAGTGAGGGGCAGGTGTGCTAGTCTCAGCTAGGACAGACTCTTGGCTCCGAGGGAGTTCCAGAGAGTTTATCAGTAGCAGCTATTCTAGTCTGTGAAACCTTGAAACTTTGTTCTGTTGTTGCTGTGTTAGGCTCATTGTCTTACTGTTCTATTGCTGTGAAGAGATGCCATGACCAGCATGGCATGGGAACTCTTATAAAGGAAAGCATTTAATTGAGGCTTGCTCGGAGTTTTAGAGGTTTAGTTCTCTAAACCTCTAAATTATCATCATGGGAGCGTGGCAGCATGCAGGTAGACATGTGCTGGAGAAGGAGCCGAGAGTTCTATTCGATCCATAAGCAGCAGGAAGAAAGAGATACTGGGTTTGGCAACCTCAGAGTCTACTCCCAGTGACACACTCCAACAAGGCCATTCCTATCTCCAACAAGGCCCCTTTAACCCTTCTCAAGAAGTGCCACTCCCTGATGACTAAGCAATCAAATTTGTGGGCCTGTGGGGGCCATTCTTATTCAAACCACCACACTCATTTTCCAGAAAATTTCTTATCACCTTTCTTAAATTTGCTTTTATATATTATATTTTGTTGTCTTTGTTTGTTTGCTTGTTTCTGAGGCAAGGTCTCACTATGTAGCCCTGGCTGGCCTGGAACTTGCTTTGTAGACCAGGCCTCAAACTCATAGAGATCCTTCTGCCTCTGCCTTCCCGGTACCGGGTTTAAAGCCGTGCATCCATGTGCCCAGCCCAGCTTGTTTATGTTTGGGAAACATGGTTTTGCTATGTAGTCCAGACTGACTTAGAAATTGTAAAACTTCATCAGTCTCCTGGATGCAGGTATTATAGGTATGTGCCACCATGCCTGTTTCACTTTTCTATGGGTAGAGATTGTGATACTGGTTTTCATTTCCAGTGTCCTGTACATTCCTTTTTGTATGTACAAAATCTGTCACACTAATTTTTGAGTTTGTGTTCTTATGTTCTGCTGTTGAGTTCTGTTCACTGTTCTTTTCTGAGGAAGGAGGAGGAGAGATAAGAGCCTGACTATGTACTCCAGGTGCTTTTAGACCTCGAACCTCTAGCCAATGATGAAAGCCGTGTGTGCTACCACAACAGGTTCTTTATTGTTAACCACATTAAGGTTTAAGTAGACACTTGTAACTCTATGTACTGTGAGGCTTTAATGCTCATACATTTTTAAAAGATTATTATTACCATATTAAGACAAGGTCTCATTATGTAGTCCTGACTGGCCTCGAGCTCACAAAGATCCACCTGCCTCTGCCTTCAAAGTGCTGAGACTAAAGGTCAGGTGGGATTTTGAGTACTTTTATATATTGGTTTCAGGATTTTAGAAGAACAGTGAAACACAAGAACAGTTTTAAGTATTAGGGTAAAGTTTTATAACCAAGTTAAAATGAATTTTTAGTACACCCAGTTTATGATTGTTTTTTTTTAAATCAATTTTTTTTTTTTTTTTTTTTTTTCCGAGACAGGGTTTCTCTGGGTAGCTTTGGAGCCTCTCCTGGCACTCGCTCTAGAGACCAGGTTGGCCTCGAACTCACAGAGATCCGACTGCCTCTGCCTCCCAAGTGCTGGGATTAAAGGCATGCGTCACCACCACCTGGTTTAAAATCAATTTTTAAAAATGACCTTTCAAATGCTTCTGTTCTTTGTAGTGGAAGTAGTGGAGGAAGTGGAAGCCGAGAAAACAGTGGGAGCAGTAGTATTGGCATTCCCATTGCTGTGCCTACGCCTTCACCTCCCACTGCCGGCCCAGGTATGTTGTTCAGTACTCTCAGGGTTAGTGTGTGATACTTGTTAACTTTGTAAGGGAAGCTAAAATAACTGATTCATTTTGGCTAAAAATTATTTACTGGATTGTGGCTATAGCTATAATAAAGGCTAATTAATAACAAGTATATTTTTAGATTAATTTTCACAAACTTGGGGTTTTATCAGCTGTATGTATATGATACAGAGAAATAGTTTTGTTAGGTCAGTTTTTAGCCATTTTGCTTTTAGCTATACTTGTCTTTGTAAATAGTTAAGATTGATGTTTATTATTTCAAAAGCAAATCAATATTGTATATTTCATTTAGAAGGTCAGTATTGCTAAACTAATGTATTTGTGACTTATTTATATATGAGAATCAGCACCTATTTTAGTGAAATGCAGTGACTGTAAGATGAGATTTAAAAATAGGAAAACTTATTTTACCTTTTTAGAAAGTAAAGGCATTCTGGGAGAACATTCGGTTAACACTTTGGAGTTTAGTCAGTAAAATGGAGACTTTTTTTTGAGATAAATTATTTCTGTGTAGTCCAGGCTGTCCAGAAAGGAAGACTTTCACAGTATTAAAAAACATACATTTGGAAGATAAGCATAATGAAAAAATATTAGAGGAAAATATTCTTAGTGTCTCAGATACATTGTTGAAGGAGAATGATCTGGTTATAAACACAGGCTCATTCTGTGGTCACTGCATTTATAAACTCAAAGGCCTTTTTACCTAGTGAAATTCTTACTCATTTGAATGCGTTTTGCACATGGATGTTTCTTTTTCTGTTTGTCTTCTTTCCAGTATGTTATATTTCCATGCCACTTTGGAATGCTTAATTTTGTTTTCTTACATTCTGGCTTAAACCATAAACTGTTTTATTGGAAAACATTTCTATCTTGATTCCCTCTGGAGCCCTGCTTCTCCCACTCAGCACTTTGGAGGCTGAGACTGCATAGGTATTGTGGAGCCATCAGATGATACTTTGCAGATTTGCAATAAGCTCCTGTAGCCAAAAGACTGCAAGTTGTTGCAGTTATTAGATTGTAGATGATAATGTTAAAGAATTAAATCTAATTGATACCAATGTCTTCTGGTGAAAGACCTTTGAACTTAACACTGCTCTACTACAATACAGAGTGATCCTGTGGATGGTTTATAATCAAATTAATGGAGTTTTTATTTATTTATTTATATTGAAGAAAACTAGCAGTTATTGTTCAAAATTATTTTTAAATCAACAGTGTCACTAATGTCCTTTCAGTGCATGAGACATATTTGGGACTCTGTCTTGTATTCAGGCAGTCAGAGGCCTGGGATGAAGGTGGAGACAGGAAATGAAACATGGAAAAGAAAATGTAGTGTGATACAGGGGCTTCCCTGATGCTATCCTTTGGATCATACTCTGAAAAAATTTGGTGCAGCCTAGGTTTTAAGAGATAGCTAAGGGGTTGGAGAGATGATTCAGAGGTTAAGAGCACTGGCTGTTCTTCAAGAGGTCCTGAGTTCAATTCCCAGCAACCACATGGTGGCTCACAACCATCTGTAATGAGATCTGGTGCCCTCTTCTGGTCTGCAGGAACACTGCAGAACACTATATACACAATAAGTAAATAAATCTTAAAAAAAAAAAAAGGAGAGAGATGGCTAAGGATGCTATGAAATAATTTCTTAATAGAATTTATTCAAATAGTTTTCTAGTTGGGGACGACTAGACTGTTATAAGGAATTCTGCATGCTGTATTTTTTTTTTTCTCTTTGCTGTTTGACTCGTTGGGGGCCCACCACCCAGCTCCCAAATAACTACACAAAGACTTATTCTTACTTATGAATGCCCAGCCTTAGTTTGACTTGATTCTAGCTAGCTTTTCTAACTTAAATTAACCTGTTTCTCTTCTACCTTTTACCTCTGATCTTTTACCTTCCTCTATTCTGTTTAATCTTTCTTCTTATTCTGTGGCTGGTCCCTGGTGTCCTCTTTCCTTTTCTCGATTCCCCATTATTCTTTCTTTTCCTATTTATTCTCTCTGCCTGCCAGCCTTGCCTATTTCTCATTCAGCTCTTTATTAGACCAATCAGGTATTTTAGACAGGCAAAGTAACACAGCTTTACAGAATTAAACAAAGGCAACACAAAAGAATGCAACACATCTTTGTATCATTAAATAAATATTCCACAGCATAAATGAATGAAATCCACCTTAAGCTAATATTCCACAACAATATTCACTTTTAGAAGTACATAATAATCTGGATAGGAATAAAGAGATGTCTTTTATGAGAACTGAATTTCTATTTATGTGAAATAAACTGACATTTTCATCCCCCCCCAAAAAAAAAAAAACAAAAAAAAACCCATTTACGTATATTGAGGAAAAAGAAAGATGGGAGAGGGAAGGAGACAATACAAAAAATGTGACTGCAAATAGCATTGAAAGAAAATCTTTGTGAAAGCAAAATGTTTTCAGCTTACTTTACTAGAAAATGATCATTGAAGCCACAATGAGTTTCTATTATTATATTCACTGGATAAGTAAAAATGTAGATGTCTCTATATGGCGATCTTGATGGGGAGATAGACATTTCTGGTGGAGTTTTTTTTGTTGATGTTCTCACTTCACAAAACTTTATTGTTACCTAGTCATATTAAACCAGCGTCTACTCCACTTTATCAGTTTCAGTTCTTGATATTAACCTCAGAATACCATTTTTCAAAGTACTAGTTCTTAAAAAGATTTCTGCATAGATTTTTGAGGTCAAAGCTTTATTCATTGTTTGTCTTTTTCATTCTGTTAAGAGTTTTGTTTTTTTGTTTTGTTTTGTTTTGTTTTTTTCCTTAGAGGCTTCATGAAGTCATTGCTTTGACAGCTAATGCCATGTGAACCTTGCATATTAATGCATCTTACAGCTGTGTCACTTTGAATTCAAATATGTTATAAATAGATATAAACCACTCCAAGGACAGCTTTTGGGGTCCTCTAATTTTAAGAGTGGGCTCAAAGGCAAAAAAAAAAAAAATTACAAACCACTTATTTAGAGCATTGACTTTCAGAGCAGTAGGCCCAATTAGTCGTCAACATGAAGGAACTAGGTAGAAAGTTTTCAGACCCTATCATATACCTACTTCGTTAAAAACTCTGAAGATGGGACCCAGAAATTTACAACAAGCTTTCAAGGGGAGATTTTCATCAGTGCTGAAGTGTAAGAATAGTTATCCCAGGGAAATTTGGAAACTGTATTTATCGGTGTTCATTTGTAAGGAGTAATATTTTTTAGTAGTGCTAAGATTAGCACCTAAATACAACTTAAATATTTAATAACAGTAATTACTAGCAGTTGTTATAAAAATCAGAAAAATATACTTGGCTGACAGTTTAAATTTTATTACTTAATCTGGATTATTTAGCCAGATAGAATTTTGAGTCAAATTCTGAAACTGTTGGCTGTGGGAAGGAAGTTTTTTATGAAGCAGTTATGAATGACCCATAGCTAACAGCTTTTATCTCTGACTACCTGTGTTGCTAATTTTGTTGGAGAAAGTTTACATATAAAAGCTCTGTATAGTTGTCCTTTCTTCTGATGGTTGATTCTTGGACACCCCCACCTTCATTAGATCCAAAAATCCTTAGATATTCAAGTTCCTTGTAAAAAATGCCATGGTACCTGCAGACAGCTTACACATATGTACTTTGCTATATTTTAAATTATATCTAGGTTACTTATACCAATATAATGTAAATGGTCTGAATAGTTGTTATTGTTCATGTGTATTCCATGGAACATTCAGATTCCATGTGGTATTAGTGAAACAGCATTTGGGACTATGCTTATTCCAAAGGTTTAATCGTAACGCTCCATGTTCACTTTTGTAGCTCTTCACAGTGGCTGTTCCCCTTGTTTATAAACTTTAGAAGTAGAGCTAGTTCCATTTTCATCTTCATTTTTCTTTATTTTGTTCTTTGGGCTTTACAAAGTAGTAAGAATCCCTACCCCACCCCTTTGTTCTGCTACTTTGGGTGTTTATAATGCTTTGTTGGTTGCCTTTGACTAATGCTTTTCAGCAGCCCCTGGCTCAGCTCCTGGTTCCCAGTATGGCACAATGACCAGGCAGATTTCTCGACACAACTCTACCACTTCTTCGACATCTTCTGGTGGATATAGACGAACTCCCTCTGTGACTGCCCAATTCTCTGCTCAGCCTCATGTTAATGGAGGTCCACTTTATTCTCAAAATTCAAGTAAGCTTGTGTTTTGCAGGCATGCAGCAATAGTGGCGCTCCTTTTGAAAGAAATGATTTTAAACTGTTATTCTTAACTGTGATAGACAACAATTTAAGCCCTGCTATTTCATGCTTATTTTTGCTTTTAATTAATCCTTGAATTACCATCTTAGAAGCAACTGATTATCACTTATTCTTCAAGGTTCAATTGAGTATACCTAATCTACCCAAATTCAACAAGTGCTTTAATGTGGTATGAGTACTACTACAGTATAATTGAACTAGAGAACAAAAGTCTTAAGTTTTATGGGCATTGTTTTGATGGTTCAGTATTGATACAAAGACACAAACATAGTCAAAGATTTTTAAAAAAAATTATAATAAAAGAAATTGCTGGCTATCACTTCTAAGGTTGTGGACTTCTTTTGGAATGCTTTCAATAGAAAACATTTACAATGCCTGCTTACTTTTTCTGTCTGAATAATTCTATGGGTGGGAAGGATTTTCTTTTGATTTCCTTCTATTCACTTCAAATTGCACATCCCAATACTAATTACAGCCTGTGTTTTAAAAACTTACAGGGTTAGAAAATAGACATAGAATTCGAAAGAAAAGGTTTGAATATCTGAAGATAGTTATTGAGTTCACTTTTCAAGTTAAGATGCTAAATCCAAAAAAGGCAACCATTTGAAATAAGCCTGCTGTTCCGTATTTATTTTTGTCATTAAGTTATTGGGTATGGACTGACAGGTTTTTCTTTAGCAGTTTTTTCTCTTTTAGGGGTTTCTAGAACTGAGTGTTCTATAAAGAGAAGGATGACTACTCTGTATTTACATGGGAATTTGCTTGGTTCTTTCATTTGTTTTATTTATTTGGAGGTGTGGGGTGGGGAAAGGCATTACTTTGTAGCCCTAATTGGCCTGGTGCTGCCTAACTCATACTGGCTTTAAACTTGCAGCCCTCCTGCTTGTTGAGATGACAGGCAACCACCACCTTAAGTAGAAGCTGTTGGTCTTTTGTTTAAATTTTTTGAGTACAGAGTGATTGGGTTACAGCAAATAGAAAATAGTACTTTGGCTGTATTCACAGAGAACCCCAGATTTATACAACCTTTTTCTGAACTAGAATTTTCATTCAGGACACTAAGAAATATTAAACTATTAGCTGATATTTTACTTCACACTCCTGTTGGTGTCCTGTTGGTTTTGAATGGTAGCTTTATCTAAGTAGATCACAAATCCATCATTTATCACACTAGGCTTTTGTTGTTGCTTTTGTTGAGACAGGCTGTCATAGAACTCACTATGTAGATCAGGTTGACTGAATTCAGTGATCTACTTGCCTCTGCTTCCTGAGGCCTGGGATTAAAGAAAGGCATGTGCCATCATGATGAATTAGTTGTTTATCCCACTAGTTTCATGAACTTTCTTTCCATAATTTTTTTTTTTTTAAGATTCCATCTTTATGTTCATGCCTCCCCCACACTTTGTCTTTTAATTTACTCTGCAAATAGTGCTTTTATTTCACTAATCCATGCTTGTCTAGTTTCACAAATGTTTGTGAGACTCTTAGTGAATATATGTATTTTTTTGAAACTAGAAAGCAAGCTTAGCTCCAGGTGTTCAGAGATCTTTGTTTTATCCAGTTGTCCTTCAGTCTGAACTGCTGGTGTAGCTTGACTGGTGTGTGGTTGTGTTTAGTGTTGTGATGTGCACATTTTTCTCTCGTGTAGATGAGCATCTTCAGAGCACATCTCGTCTTTCCTCTCCTTCTAATAACAAGCATGACTAGCCACTAAGGGGTCTTCTGAAAATTATTTGGGCTAATGGGAGACTTTCGTTGTTTTTGTTTAACAATACCCTCTAACCCTTTAACAAGTTTTCTCTGTAACACAATGAAAGAAGACTAGTTTTTGTTAGTGAACTGAATGCCATTTTTAGATCTTTATGAACTTTTAGCAAATATATATTGCACTAATTTTGAACTTGGAACCTCTTTCATGTTTTTCATGCCTACCAACAAAATTTGTATTCTGCAGTACATGAAATTTATTTTGACAAAATGATCTTGGGAACCAATAAAGTTGTTTTTCTTGGTTAATGTAACATCACTTATTGGTGACCACTAGTAAGCCGGATCTTTCTATTTAAACCTGTTGACTTTTTCTGAGTTATCTTTAGCAGTTACTGTCTTGTTAAAAAGAGACAAGGCAGTAAACATTCTTTGTTTTTAGTTTGTGTCAGTCTTTTACACATTTGTTAGTCACATGAACGTTTGATACCAATTTCCTATAAAGTATCTCCTGAAAAAGGTTACACGTTTCAAACCAGCTAGTGTCTCACTAGAAATTAATGCAAATAATTGTACATTTTGACTGATTAGAGATTGTTTCCTTTTTCAATATCCATAAAAAGACCATCTTTGATAACTTACCCCGAGAAACTGAATAATCACAAGGTACAAGGAACATTCTTGTCCCTTAGTAAGTTTAAGGCTGATTTCTTACAAATAAAGCTGCCAGCTTAAAAAGTAACAAAAAATAGTATTTTTAAGCAAGAGTATTTTCCAGAGAGGTGTGTAAACTTGGATATATAAGAACCTTCTTTCAAGGAAACTTGTGATTAATGTATTGATTTATCGATGTGTTTATACAGGTATTCAACAGCTTTTACACATTTATTTGGCTTCAAATTTGCAACATTACCTTAAAGCTAGACTAATCTGTTAGTATATAGAGTTACAGCAAAAACAGAATTCTGGAAGGCTCTGTAGGTATTTAATTGTGACATATTTTAAAAGTGTTTCTTTAGAATTTGAAAAATATTGTGCTAAAATAAGTGTTATAGGAAATTAAAAAGTTCCCCAAATAATGTAATGCTAGGTTAAAAGTAAGTGTATTTGTTATTTTATGCCCCTGTGGCTGAGCACAGGTTGGCCTGTGGGGAAAAGAACTTGAAGAAGGTAGCAGGTTTGTTTGTTTGTTTTTGTTTTGTTTGTTTTCATTTGCAGACTGTTCTTGGCATACTTGTTTATGTTTGTGGTCCTTGTAACTGACTTCTGCTTTTTGTTTGTTTCCTTTTCTTTCTTTATCTGTTTTATTCCCCATACTGTGTCTTGCTGCCAGTTTCTATTGCCCCCCCTCCTCCCCCCATGCCTCAGTTGACTCCACAGATACCTCTCACAGGCTTCGTGGCCAGGGTGCAGGAAAACAGTAAGTCTGCAAACATAGCCGTCAGAGATTAGAGGCTGTCTCCTCTAGCATGCATGGCTGATGAGTCACCATTTCCCTCCTTCTTACTGAGAAGCTAATCTTACCTTGAAGAATAGGTACAGATGTGTGTTACTGAAACTGAAGAGCACGGGCTTCAGTTCTTTCCTCTCATGTGCATGATTACTGACCCATATCAATTTAAAAACTACAGTTTTCTTAAGTATTTAGGTGATCTAAGATATGAGATCAGTTATTTGGTTATTTGCAAGCAAAGAGTATTGAAACCCAAGAATGCAAATCCCTAATAGTTTGGGAGAATTAGAAAATATTTTGCAGCTGGGTATGGTGCATGCCTGTAATCCTAAATCCTTAGGAGGCTGAGGTAGGAGATCTTTGTGTGTTGGAGGAGACTGTGGGCTATATAGTAAGACTCCTGTCTTTAAAAAAACTAAAGAAGCCAAAACAACAACAAAATTGTGTACTCTAACAGATCTGTCAAGGTATAATTACACTGTACACTTATCAGGAAACTGAGGCAGAGCCCCTTCCCCATCCTTTAACAGCACAATATTTTAGAAAGGGCCAGTGAAGTGGCTCAGTGGGTGAAAACCCTTGTCATCAGGCATGGTGATCTGAATTCAGTCCTCAGAACCCACATGGTGGAAAGAGAGAACACTCCTGTAAGTTGTTCTCTGCATTCCATACATATACAAAACAAATAAGGTGAAAAAAATTAGAGAATGACTATAGATTCTGATGTATATGAAGCTTCATTATTACAAATGACTCTTGGGGGCTGGAGAGATGGCACAGTAGTTAGGAGCACCTGTTGCTCTTGTAGAGGACCTGGGTTCAATTCCCAGCACCCATGTGACAGCTCACAACAGTCTAACTCAATGCTGTGGGCTCTGTGCTTATGTGATGCACATACACGCATGTAGGCAAAACACATACATAAATTTATTTTAAAAAGCAAAAACAAAACCCTGAATCTTCAAGAATAAGTGAATCACATACGTGCGGTTTGTCTGAGGGGCTGACAAGGAAAGTGGAGTCTGCCTCATGCCCTGACAGTTAAGTGAGTGGGTCTGTGAGATGACATGCTAAATTCAAATAACCCTGTCTATTTTCTTGAAGTTATATCTTAATGAGGACCAGGTTCAATACCTCACATTAAATATTTTTAATTAGTCTAGGTAGATTATATCATTGCTGATTACTTTTTAGGTTACACAAGATTCTGCACATCCATTGTGAATATTGTGTGGCACATGAAAAGTACATTTGCTAAATTGTTCAATGTCAAACATCGAAATTAAGATAGTATTTAGTTCTAATTTATTTCATTGGAGATCTCCCTAAAAATAAATTTCAGAATTATTTGAGTAGTGAGCAACCTACTTGAGCAATTCATCTTTTAGGAAAGTACATTTGTTGCAAATTCTATGTCAGCCTTTTCTGACTTTTACACTGCTCCTCTCATTACCTCCTTTCCACAATCTTTATTCAGTGTTACATGCTAGGCTTTGGTAAGGATTCCTACAAGAGATATGTAAGGGGCTATTGTTAATGTAGATTTGCAAGCCTTTTTATTATCAACTTCAGTTTGAAAAGTCGTATGTTCAGATATTTAAAATTAAGTGAATCTTAGTGTTTAAGCAATGAAGATAAATTACTAGGCACTGTTGTTCCTTTCCCCATTTTTGATGCTCTTGGCAATTGTACCCAGCGTCTTGCATGTGTTAGGTCAGTTGCTCTAAGACTGAATTACATTCTCAGTTCCTGGGTTTTGGAGTGGCTTTTTTGTGTCAGTAGAGTCCCTTCTGCCTTAGCTCCTGAGTAATGGGATGGTAGGTGTGTTCATCATGCCAAATGATATTACTGATTCTGGATGCTAAAACAGTTTAGAAACAAACCTATCAGAAATTGAAAATATCACTCCTTAATGAAGAATTGCTAGGAGATAATTTTAGTAGTCATTGGACTTTTTGGGTCTAGAGACCATTGACTAATTGGTAACTGGAAAGAACAGAAATCTGGTATTCATGTGTATTATTGCTAAAGAGATACCTCAACACAATTATTTTTGTTCTTTGTAACAAGCACATGATGTTGAGTTGTTCTCACATCACTGATATTCAGGGTTATTTCTGTTGTACATCTCTACTTTAAATATTTTATGAAGTGCAAATATTTTATGTGCTGATGCCCAGAGGAAGTAACAATAAAGGGATGTAGCTTTTAACCTAATCTGGTTTAAGATATAAACCCCTAATGACTTATGCCTTTTATTATTAACAACAGAAAGCCTTTTGGACCAAATAGGAATAGTGCTAGGTAAAATATTAGGGCAGAAGAAAGTTGGATTGATAAGACTTTTGTCATCAGATTAAAGTAAGCCAATGTATACTTAATGACAGTTGAGTGGAAATCTTCAACTAGTACATTGTAAAAATGCAGGGTGATAGCAATGTAGGGACTCCAAGAAATATGCAGTGTACTGTGGTTATTTGCTCTCAGGATGGGTTCTTCTCTTTCTCCACACCAGGCAGCTTTATGGAGGAGGTAGTATGTATAGGCAGAAGAAGTGGATCAGTGCATGGAGGGGACAGCCCAACTGTAGACTTGTCAGCTTGCTGTGAGCATCAACACAAAGAGTTTATTTTTATTATCTTTTTCATCTTTAGGATAAAAGTAGAAATCACAAAATTGAAGAAGATACAGGACTGTGTTTTGCATACTTTAAAATTAGACCAAAAAAAAAAAAAAACCAAAAAAAAAAAAAAACCCAAAAAAACAAAACTGGACTTCTTGGTTATATTTTCAACATATTCTGCCAGAAAGATAAACCTTTAAAACTTAATCAGCTTATATAAGAATGTTTTTCTTCCTTTCTTCTCTCTCTTTTTTCTTTTACACACACACACACACACACACACACACACACACACACAGACAGACAGACACCCACCCACCCAAACCAAGAGCCACTTTGTGTAGCTGTGGATGGAGTACAATTAGCTGTATAGACCAGGCTGACCTTGAACCCACAGAGATCCACCAGCTTCTGCTTCCCAAGTGCTGGGATTAAAGACATGCACCACCTTGCCTGATTTTTTTTCTTGCTCTGATAAACTTTTAAAGGAATTTGTGGAGTAGAAGTTTGAGCATTAGTTGTGTTAGCTTTGAATTTCTAATCCTAGAAGCATTGGTGGCCCAGTAAGCACAATTCTAGTCCCACACACCCATGTCACTGTTAACACCCTAGATTCTTTATAGCATGCATACACACATGCCCTAGCCATCTAGAATCTGAAGTGTGATTCATTTTTATTGTTTGTTTATTTTTGTTTCTTTTAATATTACTACATCTTCAACATTTTGTGTTTAAATCTTGTGTTTAAGTTAGAAAATGGATCTTTAGGATCTGGTCTCATCTCATTGTTTTATTAGCCTTGATGCAAAAATCTTAGTTTCCTTTCTACATTAAATTTTGATTATGAATATAACTGATACTTTAAAAAATATTTAATGTAATTTTCTAGTTGGGAATTTTTTTGTTGTTTTTGTTAAAATTTAAATAAATAAGAATAGAAAACAAACAAAACCTTATACAGATGCAAACCTGATACTACAAACTTGGCTTTTCTCTCTTTTAAAACAATAAATAAAAAAATGTGTCCACTTGAGATGTAGTTTCTAGGGCACTAAAGCTATTAAAAGCCAAAATTGAAGGCATGATTATACATAGTAAAACCAATCAAATCTCCAATGTAGATATCGAATGGTATTCCAAATGACAGGGTCCCTTAGGTATCCAGGCCCAGTGGAACAATTGTTTTGACCTGAGTCTTAGGATAAGGAAACTTCTTTACTCTTGTAATTCTTATGAAAGTAGATACTGTATCCTAACGTGTTGCCTTCATTAATTTGTAGTATTTATTATGCTTATTTAGCTCATTGTATTATTGCAGAATTATGCTTAAAAGCAGTATGAACTTTAACACACCCAGCTTTTATTTCTAATCACTGCATGTTTTATATAGTGCATGCTGTATGAGTTAGAATTTTGTTAAATTCTGTTAAAGTTTTTCATTTAGATTAATTGCGTGTCTGAATCCTTTTAGTTGCTGATAGCCCAACTCCACCACCACCTCCTCCACCGGATGACATTCCCATGTTTGATGACTCTCCACCTCCACCACCACCTCCTCCGGTGGACTATGAAGATGAGGAAGCTGCAGTAGTTCAGTATAGTGACCCGTATGCAGATGGCGATCCTGCATGGGCTCCCAAAAACTATATTGAAAAAGGTGACGTACTGCTATCATTGACTGATTGGAAGTCAGTAACCCAATTACAGAGTTTTATTAATGTTAAAAAAAAAAATCGCATCTAATGTTTCTTATCTGCCTTACCAGTCAGGATGGTAACCCGTACTGCACATACTTTGTGTTCTTCAGCAGTGTGTAAAGCATGCTTTCTTTCTGTATGTTTTAAATTAATTTGTTAGATGTATCTTTTTTCTTTTTTAAAACATAGTTTCTTTATTGAATCTTTGGGAAATTTCATATCATGTACCTCAGGTCCGCTAACCTCCCAGTTCCTCCATATTCACCACCACCCCTATCCCCCCAGCAGCCCTCCAAACAAAAATTAAAAGAAAACAGAACAAACAAAACACCCAAAGCAAACAAAAAACAAAAGGAAAAAAAACAAAACAAAACATGATCAAAATAAACCTCTTCACTCTTCCATCTTCCCTGCTCCATCACCTCTTCATTTATCCTGGTGGGTTGGGAACCACAGTATGTCACACAATCAGCTTTGCTTGCAGTGAGTCACTGGTTCAAGGCCTCTGGTACACCCTAATCACTGCATGCTTGCTGGAACTCCTCTGGGATATCCCTTGGCTGCTCTGAGTCATGAAGATCATGGGGTTATCGCTCTACAGGACCAGTCCCTTCACTGCTTCAAGCAGGTCCCGTATGTTAGAGTAGAGTTAGTGTGTGGGCCTGGGTGGTGGTGGAGCTGGTCATTCCAGGCCACTGGGGTTGCTTCTGGCTTCAGATTGACTTGCTTATGTGTCTTTTTTTTTTTAAGATTTGAGCTAAATGACTTACTGAGGCCATAAGTAATTAGTGATGATTTTAAGCATTCCCTCTGTCCCCACTTCTTTTGCCTCTCCTCCCACCCTCCCTCCCTTGCCAAGAATAGTTTAGATTTTGCTGCTGATATTCATTCAAAGTCAGGAGTTACTATATATGTGAGTAGCTGTGTTCAATAAAACTTTATTTAAAGAAATTGGCAGTGGGAGGCTAGAGAGATGGCTTAGAGTTAGGAGCATTTCTTGCTCTTGCAGAAGACCCAGGAAGGTTTAGTTCCCAACACCCATCTATCACTTCAGTTTCGGGGGATCTGATGCCTTCTGACTCCTGGCACCAGGCACACATGTGGTACACATTCAGATATGCAGACAAAACTCTCATACACAGAAAATAACATTTAAAATAAGTAAATGTATAAAATAGTAATGGCCATGGGTTGGATTTGCCAATGGGCTATTGTTTGTTGACTTCTGGTATAAATAAAATTAATATTTAGCAGGATTAAACTAGGCATGATGGTGTGTACACCTGAAATCAGTGGCCAGAAGGATCATTTTAAATTTGACAATTGTCTCATCTACATAGTGATTATCTCAGTCTTTTGCCATGGGCAAAGAAAAGATTTAGTAGGATTATTGACTTGTTTAGGGATTGTGTTACTGTGGTAAAACAACATGAGTGGAATCAAGTTGGGGAAGAAAGGATTTATTTCTTACAGTTTATGAGAGAAGTCAGGGCAGGAACCTGGAAGCTATGGAGGAGCACTGTTACTGACTTGCTTCTCTTCATTTGCTCAACCTGCTTCCTGACTGCATCCAATACCACCTGCCCAGGAGTGGTACGACCCACCATGGGCTGTGGTCACTCACATCAATCGTCAGTCAAGAAAATGCACCACAGACTTACACAGACCAATCCTAGGGAGGCATTTCTTAACTAAGATTCTTTCTTCCCAGACATGTTCCCAGCTTGTGCAAATTAATATAGAACAGTGAGTACATATATATTTCAAGTCATAATAGCCATTTTTGTAATTACAAGATAATGAAATCTGTTTAATTTGAATCAACAGTTTATGACAAGACTATTCCAAAAGCCTTGTTCATATTAATAATTCAAATTTAACCTAATGTATGCTGATATGATCCTATTCTCTGGATTAACCTAATAAATTTAAATTCCAGAGAGTCTTCTAGTACACATAGAAGGGAGAATTTGACCCTTTCTATTTCTCCAGGATCTAATCAAGATAATCAACATCAAATTATTATTAGTGGTTAAATAGCAGTAAGGGAAATTATATGAGGGGGTATATACATTGAGATAAGACTATTACAGAGGAAACCTGGAAACCAGTGTGGTTCAGTACCTTTCTGAGCCATCTGTATAAGAGGATCTAAGAACATGAAATGTTTTTTGTTTCTGGCTTTTGTCAGTTTAAAGTCAGTCTACAGCACTGAATCTCACCTCCTGTGACTCTAGATACAAGATTATTACCAAAGTTAAAGTTATTTACAGAGCTTTTCTTAATAATTGTTAATCCCTTGCAATCACTTGATCCTTTTAGCTTGTTATTATTTAGCTAGGATATTTTTGATAGCATGTGCACTCTAAGCTTTAATATGCTATTGAGATCATAATCACCATACTGTGATTTTGCTGTAGAACTAATGGAAAGAAATGGGCTTGTGAATCCACTTACCACATTGTTTTATAAGGAGTAGACTGCCTATTTAACTTAATAAATGATGGCAATTGAGGGGGCTGGAGAGATGGCTCATCGGTTAAGGGCACTGAATGCTCTTCCAGAGGACCCGGGTTCAATTCCCAGCACCCACATTGTAGCTCACAATTGTCTATAACTCCAAGATCTGACAGCCTCACACAAACAGACATGCATACAGGCAAAACATCAATGCATATAAAATAAAAATAAGTAAATTATAAAAAAAGAAATGATGGCAATTGATCAGTATGTAATCTTTCCCTGTTTCACTAATTTAGAGTTAGTAAGGAGACAGGCCATCTTTCTTAGGGTGAAAATATATGTATCATAAATGTTCAAAAATTCCTTATTTTAAGAAAAAAAGAGTGCTAAGAATAAATGGAGTAAATTTGAAAAATTCATGTTATATATTTACCATTCACATGTAATTTTAGAATTATGTTATAGAAATGGACTAAAGGAGATATTTAAATTCACAAGGCAATAATGCAGAAAGTTGTACATCTAAGTTGCTTTCCCTTTCTACAACAACTGGAAATGATATTTTAACTGGAAAGGAAGAGTATATTGAACTTTGTATCATACTTTCTGCATTTTCCCTTACTTTGCCATCATTAAAAATAAACTTTTAAAAGTGAGTAGTCCCTTTTCCATTTTAAAACCTGAGTATATCCCCAACATTTACCACAGAATTTTGAATAAGTAGACTTATAAATGTATGGTATGGTTAAAATAGACAGCTTGAGTTATCTGGTTTACTGCACTTGTAAAATGATTCTTTGCTTAGATATTCCATGGATATTTGTCTGAATGAATAGAAATACTAAATAAACCCTGAATTCAACACTTCGTTCTATGGGAATGTAGGCCTGTAATCCTAGCACTTGGGGTGTTGAGACAAAACCACAAGTGTGATGTCAGTCTAAGCTAAATAATGAGAACTCGTGTCAGAAAACCAAAACTAAAACCTAAATTCCAAGATTTTAAAATTATTATTACTTCATTTATTTTATGGGGGAGGGACACACGGCCCTGTATGTATGAAGATCAGAGGACAACTGTCAGTTCCCTCCCGCCATGTAGTATTCTAAGGATCAAAGTCAGGGCATCTTGGTGGCCCTCAGATTTAGAACTCAGTGCCTTCTTTAGTGTGATCATATTGTCAGTGTGGTTAGTGGTTTAGGAACTTCGTTGGCCACTTACTTATACTGGTAGGAAAATTTAAGTCCAGCCAGGTGGTGGTGGTGGTGGCAGCATACACCTTTAATCCTAGTACTTGGGAGACAGAGGCAGGTGGATCTCTATGAGTTCCAGGACAATCAGGGCCACACAGAGAAACCCTGCCTTGAAAAACAAAAATATTTAGTTTTCCTATACTATATAGATTTGTCATTACATTTTAAAGTTCAAGTAAATGGAGATTGTACTCTCAATGTCATACTTTGTTTTTTCCACAGTTGTTGCAATATATGATTATACAAAAGACAAGGATGATGAGCTGTCCTTTAAAGAGGGTGCAATCATCTATGTCATAAAGAAGAATGATGATGGCTGGTTTGAAGGAGTTTGCAATCGAGTGACTGGACTTTTCCCTGGGAACTATGTGGAATCAATCATGCACTATACTGATTAGGTTTTTATTTTTTTCCTTTTTTCTTTGGTTTTCTTTTCATGTAGGTTATTACTCCGTCATACTGTGGGACTATATGGTTAACAGAATTGTCTTAATGTTTAAAATGTGCCCATATTTTCAGGACATGTTTTATTGGTATATTTGGATGTCTACCTGTAAGCATACATTTTGGAGGCAGTTCACATATTGCTGAACAGCAGTTTATACCAGAGACTGCCTGTAATTGATTATGCATATGTACTCACACCTTGATAACTTTATGACCAGCCTAAATATTCTGGGGATGTGGTTTATTACGTTTAACAAATCATGGTTCAGAATGCACCATTACATGTTTCAGTGCAGCATGGTCACTAACATTATGTCAGACTAATAGGAAAAACAGAAAACTTAATGCTGGTGCTGGTCATACTTTTGGTTTAAATTCTCATTTTTTAAGAATACTGTGTTTAAAGCATGCATAAAATTTTATGTATTGAAAGATACTTAACAATTCAAGATGCTTCCAATTTGTGTAACATCTGGAGTACTTATACTTGAGTCTCTAGGTTCTTCATGTGAAACGAAAGATTATCTGTAATGTTGTAATTTGTACCTAAGTTTTTTAATGAGTGAAATTTACATTATAAATTTTCCATTCATAAATACATAAGTGAACCAAGGGAATTTGTCCACTCCTTTACTGGTTTGCTTTAAATGTGTGTGCTCATGCATATGCATGGACACAATCCCAACACAAAAGATTTATTGCAGAATTATGGTTCTATTTTCTCACTGTATTTGCTGGGAAATATTTTTAGCTTTATCTTAATGTGTCCGAATAGCAAAGTCACAGAATTTTGCAGATTTCGGAGCTAAGACATTGTGTCAAAGTAAGCACATCATCCTGTAGGTAAAAATCCAAAGGGGTGCCACGCTAGTCTTCGGTTTTAATGAAAATGAATTTACACTGGTTCAATGGAAGGAAAACGTTTTACATATTGTAAAGTGATTGCAATTAATTTGCAGATAGCATATTTAATCCATTACCTGGCACTAGCAACATAAGATTTTACAATTGGGAAAGAAAGTGGGTCATGTATTTCTTTGTAAACAGGTAATAAGCAGGTTTGTATTGTGGCTGAAATGCAACACATGCACTTTGTGTGTCTCCTTGATTTAAGGGAGGGTTAGAGGGATATTTCTCTTGTATATAATTCTGTTCTGCTTAGGATATTACAGTAGATCACACAAGTGTGGGTTTCTGTGTATTGAGGATTACAGATGTATGACAGCATAGTAAATGCGAGAGCAGTGCAAAATATTTCTGAAAATTAAAGACCATTGTTCCTACCAAATCAACAACTATTTCATTTATATTTTACCTTTGTTATTTTTGAAGTATTATGTCATTAGTGATCAGATAGCTATATTATGCCTTTTCTTTTTGAAGCAGAATGTCTTAATTTGTAAATAATCTGTTGTCTAAATTTTATCTACAGTCTTTTATAATAAACTATGCTCCTAAATGAAAAAATTTGGATATTGTTAAAATATAACTGATGTGGATTTAAATTTAAGTACAGACTTCAAAATTCTCTGACCTTTAATCCTATGATGAAACAAAGACAAACCACTTGAATTTTAACATTGATTATTTATTTGTGTAATGGCTTTCCATGTGGGCATTAACAATGTAAACAGGACCACACATAACCATCAGGATACCTCGATTAGAATTTATAGGACTATAATGACACTGGTTTAATTACATTTAAAAAGTTTTCTGAAAAACTTTGCCAATAAAAAAAATTGCCCATCAATAAGGTTGAAATTATTTCCTAAAGTGATTTTTGGTTATCTGCACATGAAGCAAATAGTGTTTCACAAAATTCATTAGGCACAGTCTGGTAAAATAGCTGCCAGAAAGAACAGGAAGAATTGTCATTTATCTCTTGTGAGCACACTTTCAGAAAGTTGGATGAGGGCATCCCTTTCTGTGGATGCTCTAAGTTTCCTGATCTCTCTCACTGCTTCGTGGCAGTACTGCTGGGCGAGGTAGGTTGTTTGTTGCACGCCATCACTCTACAGGAAACAACAAAACAGACAGATCACTGATCAGCTCCCAGAATGCTGTCACAATAAACCATTAATAATCTGAAGTTCTTTCCAGCAAATGGCTTGTTGCTTCTATTTATATCCCATTTCATATGGAAACGCACTTTAGTTCTATTAGCACACACAGAAGCCTCTCAAGCAGCCAGGCATTTTCTGTTACATCTACTGAAGCATTACAAGTTTTTAAAAGTTGTATCTATATATATTAAAATGCCTTTCACATTGCAAATGACATAGCTCATCCCCAGCATTTCCAAATCTAATCATTATATCAATGTCTTCAGTTCTCCTGTAGATTACCTTTGCTATCATGTAGGACTCTTCTGATTTCCTCTTGTATGAGGACACCAACCACTGCTTCTGTCCTCTCTGTGCCATTAAAGATGGTTACATTCTGGAATTATGTTTCTAATGTTGGGTTTTCTAGAAGTTGGACACTAATAAAACTCCCCCCCCATACAATATATACTATGGAATTAAGTAATGTAATTCTCTTATATTTTGATTGTGAGCCCAGTCTTTAATGGATAAGCTGTCTCTCTAGCCCTTCTCCATGGTTCTCAATTGCTGTTATTTAGAATACAGTATTCCTAATATATGGTTGAAAAGCTATACTCAAAACAGGAGTTTAGTTTTCTATGCCATTTTGCAAAGAAGCATGCTTTCTCTTCTTTGGTGTTTCAACACACCTTGCTGATGAGCCTGTGCAAATAACATTCCTACTTCAAAGGGTATGGGAGAAATCAACTTGATTTTCTTTTTGAGACAGGATCTCATTATGTAGCCCTGGCTGGCCTAGAGCTTACTATGTAGATCAGGCTGGCTTCAAAAACTCACAGAGATCCATCTGCTTTTGCCTGAAGATATATTGAATAATTTAACTTGGTAGATAACTCCAGGTTTAAAATGTTTACTTGGATGATCATTTGGAAGGCATTGCTCCACTGTCTATTGGCGTCTAGTATTTTTTATTGCACAGAGCCAGTTTTGGTATCTTTGCCCTTATAATGACCACTTCGTAGATTGTCTTCTTAAAATATCTGTTAACATTATTGCTTTCCCATACATACATATTATTACACTTTGTTCTTATTGACCCCTCCTGCTGTTGTATCATCACCACTTGTTACTGGTCCTCTTTCTCAATGTTACCCTTTTCTGCTTTTATATAAATATAGTCCATTAACTCTTCCTCCCCCACTTAAGTTCTTTTTTCTTTTATGATCCACACACATACAAATTTAAATCTAGAGTCTGTTTATGAAAAATGATTATTTTGAGACTGACTTTTTTTAACTAACAATCTTCAGTTCTGTCCATTTCCTATAAATATAATTTTCTTTTTATATGTTTCTTTTAAGATTATGTGTATGCCTGTATGTGGGTTTGTACATGTTGAGTATAGGTGTCTGAGTGCCTGGAACTGGAGTCACAGACAGCTGAGCTACAGACATAGGTGCTATGAACCAAACACATGTCTTTAAAGAACAGTAAGCTATCTCTCCGGGTCTGATTTAATTTTTCTTTATGGCTGGATAAAATTCCATTGTGCATATGTATCTCATTTTCTTTATTCATCAGTTTGTGAACACCTAGGTTAGTTCCATTTTTAGCTACAGTAAACAGTACAGCAATAAACCTAGACTGTAAATATATCCACAGGATGTATACCCAGCTAGGTCATATGGTAGTTCTCTGCACTGACTTCCATCTTGGCTACATGAGTTTATATTCCCATAAATAGTAAATATGGGTTCCCTTAACCAGCACCCTCACCAGCATTTATCATTATTTTCTTTGATAATAGCCATTCTTATGGTTAAGACAGAATTTCAGTTTTAATGTCCATTTCCCTAATTGCTAAAAATGTCAAACACATTTTCAAATACTTAGTGACCATTTGTATTTCTTTTGAGAATCATTAGCCTAATTAGTGAATGCTTAAATTAGCATTTAAATTTTGCAGTTCTTTATATTTGGTGTGTTAAATATATAGTTTGCATAGTTGGCAGGTTTTTTTTTTTTTTTTCCTATTGTACATACTGTCTTGATCATGCAGAGGCTTTTATATATAAAATCCCATTTGTCAGTTCTTGGGATTATTTTCTGTTCTGTTGAAAAATGGGCTGGAAACAAGATGCTCGGTGATGGGTAACTTGCTAATATGCAAAGGTCTGTTTAATACCTGGTACCAGGGAGTTTAAAAGTTCTGTTTTAAGAATTCATGATCTGTATGGATTCTCTTAACTAGTTTTCAGTGTCTTTTCTATTCACATTGTTCTGTGCTCAGAATTTTTAATCAACTCTTTAGTAATCTTGAGTTATCCACACATACTTTTCTATAAGAACTACAGTTAATTTTCCTGATCACTTGAGACTTTGATTAGCTTTCTAATCATGTTTTTGGATATACCTGAGCATGGTACAAAGATTTGTCATTATTCTCTAAAATGTGTCAGTTGTTCTAATTATTTATATTACAGTTAGGTATCAATCTCAGTGGCTTAAAATATAAAGCAATATTCTAACATTTGATATAAGTAGCTTTAAACATCCATGCATCTTTGATAGCCAAGGAGAGGGTCTGCAACCCTTGGGGGTACCAAAGGATGGCTGCAGTATGTATTTCTAAGGCCCCTCTGATGGATACTGGAATTGAGCTTTTTATAGCACTGCCAAGCACTCACTAATATACTGGAAACATAATTATTTATATTTAGAATTCCTTCATGTATTCTGTACATATTAAATATAGATCTCAGACTATATTTGTTATTAATACTTGTTTGCTTACTCCACTACATGCATATAACTTAAAGCCTCCAGTAGCTATGAATTTGGAAACTGATCATTCTTTCTTCAAAAATTTCCATTTATGTTATGAGATTGGCGTGTGGGTGTGGGCAAGCACATGACAGGGTACATGTGGATGTAAATTTTCTCCTATCATATGGGCCACTGAGTAACTTGAAAGAGAAATTATATTAATTGAGCTTTTCTTTGGCATGTGAGATGGCTTAGCAGGTCTGGGAGCTTGCTGCCATGCCTAAGTGAGTTCAATCTCTAGAACCCACATGGTGTAAGACAAGAACCAACTCCTGCAAGTACAATGCATAGGCACTGGAATTAAATGTAAAAGTAGGTAAGTTTTTTTTTGTTTGTTTTTGTTTTTGATTTTTTTTTAATGAGTGCCTTTCCTAATTTTTGTCAAACCACCTTGGCTCTGTGTGTGTGTGTGTGTGTGTGTGTGTGTATGTATGTATATATCTATATCTATATCTTTACCTACTGTTGCCTTCTCTATTTTTAAATCGTCTTATGGGGTGGGGGAAGGGGAGATGCCGCAGTGAGTAAAGGTGTCTGCTGCCAAGCCTGATTGAACCCTGGGACACACACAGTAGCCCTCTGACTTCCACATAGGTGCTGGGCACATGTATATGAACAAACAATAGTCTTACCTGTAATACATATTGTCTGGCTCTGTCCACATCCCCTGGCAAACTGAACCGTCTCATTATCATAGCATTCATTTCTGGGAACTAACCATAAAGAAGGGAAATCTATTTATTGTCCTGGAGGAATGAAGCATTTTACTACATTAAAAAACATAAAACAAAATGGGGGCTGGAGATAGCTCAATAGTTAAGAACATTTGGTGCTCTTGCAAAGGATCTGTCACCCACATCAGGCAGCTCACAATCTTCCTGTAACTCCACTTCCACAACAAGATCTGTCACTCTTCAGGCCTCCAAGTCTCTGCACATATGTGGTGTACATACAGACAAGCAGGCATATACACATTAAACAAAAACATAATTGTTCTTTCCATAATCCAGTTTTGAGTATGTTTCAGGAGGACAAAGTACTGTACTTCGAGCTTTCCTGGGTTCTAATTAGATAGGCTATGGCTTGAGAATGCCTTTTTAATGAGTTTGTGTGATGTTGATGATGTTGATACTGCTGGTCTAAGACTACATTTTGAAAACCAGTTGTCTAGTTGGAGGTTAGGAATTAGAGATTGTTGACTGCCACTGAAACCATTTGCTTGTGCATGGGATTGCATTAAGTTTCTAGATCCCATCCATTCCTAACAAATCTGATTATACTGATGTCATGATTACCAGAACTTCCCAGATATTTTAATGCATAGCAAAGTAGAGATTGACCGGATTAGAGGAGGTGCAGGTATCAATCAGCCAGGTCAGAGTAGGGAGTTAGATAAGATGAGCAGGTTTGGGGTTACAGGTCAGCATTAGAGCATTTGCCCAGCATGTTAGAGCTTTGGTTTCATCCCTAACACCACAAGAAACGAAAACTTATGGACTTGGAGACTAAATAGGGGAGGAAAATTCTTTTTTTTTTCTAAGTTCAATGGTTGGTCCAAGAACTACTTCATTATAGCACAGACCAACAGAAAAAGGTGAAAGTGCTGCAGGTCTGATGGCTGGAGCTGCATCTCATAATTCACAAAAGGAGAGAATCGACTCCTGCAAAATCCACTCAGCCACTGGTCTCCCTGCCGTTTGTGTGTACATACACAATAGAATTTTTTTTTAAAGCATTAACGAACATGTCTTCTGTCCTCCTCATTTCTTAGCAGTTATTTAGGAGGACTGCTACCATCACTAGGACAAAGCCAGGACAACACACATCACTTCCAGACCAAGCTCCATGTATGTTCAGGTTCTGCCAGCAACCATCCAGCTGAATCTCTGCCTTTTCAGTTTGAAATTTCTATTTTCTAGCAGTCTGCAGTTCCATGGAGTAAGAGGTAGGGTGTGTTCAATCAAAGACATCCATACTTAGAGCAGTTCCCCTGGCACTAGTAAGTTTTCCTGTAATAGTGACGATGGAATCTGCAGAAGTAGGGCTCACAGAAAAGCCCTAGCTGAATGATAAGGAGCAGATTCTTTCCCTAGGAAAGTATGTGTCTGAGGACAAAGTTGTCAACATGTGAAAGCAGCTAACATGTACAGAACTGAAGGAGCTAGCAACTGCTTAGTTCTTAAGTACTAATTTGTATTAGTTACTGGTCTTTTAAGAATAACATCATTATGAAACAAATCAAAATATCAATCAGATAATTTTGGTGATTAAAAAGTCAAATCTTTAGGCATTTCTTTGTTTTTAAATACCTTACTCTTACCTGGTTATTTCTATGCTATATATCTAGTAAAATTACCCTGTTTTTGAGACATGAGCTTTTCTTTCTTTTTTCAGTATAAGTTATGTGTGATAAAATATGCTGATTGTGTAGTTTCTCTGGTGCTTTTACTGTAAACACCAAGAAGACACAATTTTAAAGAAAAATAAGTTGCAATGAGCATGACTACATTCTTCCTTTGAAATAACAGCATGTAAATTTTAATATGCAAATATCAAACTTCTGGAAGTCTGTCCTTAACCTCCCCTCCCCCAGCTGCATGTGAAGAAGAAGTGAGAAACAGGAAGATGGTTCTTGCCCCAGATTCAAGGAGAAGACAATTTTTATTTTTTGTCTTTTGCTTGCTCATGCTGTTTTACAAGTAAGAAACCAATCTGTAAGTGGATAGGATGCTAATTTAGAAATCTGTTCACAAAACTACAAGGGTGATCAGTGCAGTGGGAAGAGTTGGCCCCAAACCTGGATAATTCTAAGGCACCAGAGAGTCACCACAATAGCATAAGTCTGGGCATCTGGTGCAGGGGCTGGGATGGCAGTTGGAAATATGGCTGTGGCCTGACATTTATGTCTAGTGACTTATCAAATAACAAGCAGAAGAAAGGAAAGGTTTTAAAAAGAACTTTGAAACTAATGTTAACTAAGGAAAATATTTCTTTGTTTCTGAGTATTTCACAAACGTTTTTGTATGTCATTGAAAGATTTAATATGAAGGTTTAAAAATAATACATAGAAGTAGAAAGCCACTTTTCTCTCATTGTTTTCCAAACTGAAGGATATCATTGACTTATTTTCCTATGTTTACATGTTTAAACATTATCTTTAGGAAAGGGAACTAGCAAGTCTAATCAGGGAAAAAAAGGAAAAATGTTGCCAATCAAGTCTTTACCTTTTGGTGCACCACAAAGAGCAAAAATAAATCTCAGACATTACTATAATTATACTGCAGAAAATGTACATTCAAACTTTCATGAAAATTCTTATTTTTGAGAAAATCATAAAGCCCGAGATAGTACAGCAAATTCAGGTAGATGTTACCAAGTCAACGTACAAGGAATTCTAAAGAAAAGGATGGAAACTTGTTTGTTTAGGATAAATGTATTTCTAATTTCTTGTCCAGTAGATTTTGTGTATAATTCCATTGCAGATATCTGCCTCTGGTTTATACTTGTGAATAAGGTCTTTGGCAATGTTTTTGGATTTTTTGTTTGTTTGTTTGTTTGACAGAATCTCATGTGGCCCAGGATGGCCTTGAACACACTATGTATTGAATTCCTGGTCTTTCTGCCTCTGCCTCCTAAGTGCTGATGGCAGAGCCCAGAGATTTGTGCATGCTAGGCAAGACTAACAACTGATCCCAAGTTTTTGCTCTTGAAGAAAATATAGACACCTATACAAGAATATACTATCATCATAGGGACCTCTCCAGAAATCCTGAAACATTTGTGTATGTGTCACACACATGTACACTAAAAATCAAACCCAGGGCTATATACATACTAGGCAAATCTCTACCAAGCCATAGCCCCCTGAAACATATTTTTGTTTGTGTGTGGGAGTTTCGAGACAGGGTTTCTCTGTGTAGCCTTGGTTGTCCTGAAACTCACTGTGTAGACCAGGCTGGCCTCAATCTCACAGATATCCACCTGCATCTTGAGTGCTGGGATTAAAGGCGTTCACCATCACCTCCCAGCTAAAAACATCTTGACCGTCAGGGACAATGCCTGAACAATGGGCATCAGGAAATCCTCCCCAAAGGTATCAATATAGGAGAATCAAGTCAAACAGTTCTTAGCCCATCAAATTCTAATGTCAGCATCTGTCACCAGGCAGCATTAAAAAAGAAAAGGCAAGCCAGGTTTGGTGGACATGGCTATTACTATCTTAGTATTTGGGAGGCTGAAGCAAGAAGACTACCTAGGATCTCAGAGCAAGACCTTCAGTGTTACACAGATGGATTAGTTTAAAGACAAATCTGTGGGCAAGACACCAGTCCATGGGAAATGTTTACAAATCACTCACAAGTACTCCAGTAAATGTGTATGTTAATCACTAATAATAGTGGATACAGTGTATGTTATATTTTCAGTGCTAGGACATACCAGTTACCTGGTCTGTGGGTAAACCTACTGGGTACTATTATCCAGTTAGTTGCAGGAGCAATTCAAGTATAGTAGAATGAATGCCAGTCTTATAACACTTGGGAAAGATGGCCTTCTGTGCCATCTACCAGATGTTCCATTTTGGCCAGACAAGACCATCAGTTTCATTTATAGAACAAACAGTATCTACCACAAAGCAGAATTGTGAGATCAGGGGCAATGTAAGAAAGAATCCTTTATAAACTAAAATCAACACAGTTTTATTAAAGCAAGATACTGTATAATCCTGCATTATTTTTGTATTTGATTTACCCAAAGTTATTTTAAGCCCCATGAACTTTGGATAGATTTCTTGCTAAGAACCTCTTTTTAACAGTATAATCCATGAAAGATCTTAAACCCAGGGTTTTGAGATCAACTTATAAATACATGCTTGACTAAGTATAAATATATATTTGATTAACTTTTGGCCCATGTGCCAATGAGTCCTGTCCAGAGTCAGTTCCAGCTCAGCCTCATTATGTGCTTCCTTTTGAAGGTTGTGCTGTGCCTTGTAACTCTTTTTTTCCCATTGCCTCACAGGCAGATTGGGGAAAGTGCTGTCTGATCAGAATAACTAAAAGTGGCTTGTGACTCTGGGATTTCCTAATAAGCACGCATAAAATTATAGTTTGGGTAAACTTCTGTTCCTTTTCTTTGCTCCTACTTCAAAAACAGGTAACCAACCAACCAACCAACCAACCAGTCAAGCAAATATAAAACTTCCATCAATTTCCCATCTGCTGTTCGTTCAGTTTCTATTCTCACTTTGTCCCACTATTTCTGAATGCATAATTAGCTATTAATCTCTGTGTAGAGGAAAGTAAACTGGGTTCTTTAGAAATGTTGTAATAAAACAATCAAAAGAAGCCAGTCTATTCCGTTTGTTTCATGGAGCTCATGACAAATATTTATAATTGTTGAGATTTTTAAAAGCAGAACAAACCAAAATTTTTCATGGACTAAATCAGAGAAAGGCTCAGGGCCTAGCTGAGTCTTTACTGAGCTAGCTGGCTTTGAGCATGGACTTTACTTAAACTTTATTTGAGCTGTCCTTTAATCATGCATACTAACCTGTGACTGAGATGATGAAGTCTGTAAGCGCACAACAAATGGCTGGTAAATGACTAAATTTTCTAGTATCAGAAATACCTTCATTTATACACACATGGCTCAGGAATACTGTGTATGTGTAGGGGCTATGGCATAACACAAAATACTCCTTACTAAAGCTTTAATGTACAAAAGGTTTTCTTAAAACTATGTGGTTCTAGTGCATTCAGTTGACTTCTTCACATTCTGAAGCAATGGTTGAGGCTCTAAGATTTCTCTCATGGTGCAAACAGTTCCATTAAACTCCTAGAACTTACGAATTTCTCAGACTTAAACACCCTTGGCACTTCCTGTACCTTTAAGGAGCTTTGATGTGCATCTAATCATCAGCCTTGCAAAACCCAGACTATATTAAATTCACACAGCATTTTCTGATTTACAAGATAGAGTATTATCTCAACTAATTCTCATAATAACTGGGGAGATTATAATCTGTATTTTACTGATAAGGCTTTAGAAGTGAAATAACTACCCTAACATCTCAGTTATGAAACCAGGATAAAATCTGTGGTCTCTTAGCTAAATGCCTCCAGCTGTTCTTTATCTCACACTTTACCAGCTGTGTCTAAAGATACTGGTTCCATAGAGCTCCTCAGCAGTGTTTCAAAGACAGTAAAACCTACCTGCTGGCAAGCAAACAAGACAGGGCCTGTGGCTAAGCCTAGCTTCAGGTCTGCAGATGTTGGCTTGCCCATCTGGTCAGAACATGAGGTGAAGTCCAATACATCATCTATGAGCTGGTGAAAGGAGAGATGAGTCACACCCACTGCTTTGAACTTTTTACACTGAGGAGAATGCAGGCTGTGCTTACTTGTCACCATTCCCATGAACAGGCAAACCAACCTGAAAAGCTATTCCAATGTTTTTCCCATACTGATAGGCAATCTCATGGACTACTGGGTCAGGGCAACTCAGGACAGAGACCTGAAACAAGAAGATTCTGGTAAGCAGTCGCATCTAGACCCAAGGCAGCCAACCCTGTATGAACTAGCCATTCACACATTCCCTAAGAGAACCAAGCCTACAATACAATCAGGGCATGCTGGCACCTAACTGAGAGCAAACACATTAAAAAGTGGTGTTTTCTTGTTTTGCAGTTCTGAAAATAGATTCCAGGGCCTCATGTAGGCTAGGCAAAGTACTCTACCATCTAGCTACAACCCCAGTCCATTTTCTTACATTTAATATTTGTGAGCGTGCATGATGTATATAGGAGTGTGGGTGCCACTCTGGCGTCCCTTCTCCATCTTTAAATGACTTCAGGAATTGAATTCAGGTCGGCAGATTTCCTTCCTCCTCCAGTTCTTTCAAACAAGATACACAGTCTTCCAAACCGAGAACCATAAGAATCAATTCTGATAATAAGCTAAGTAAATCTTTCTGGTACACAAAAAAGATCCATCCCATTGTGTAAAACACTGGCTTCCAGCACTCAGTGAAATGGTTGGCTTTAATGACCTCTGAGAAGTCACCCTCATTTCAGGGATGGAATCTCATGCATACAACATTGTCAGGCACCTCTTTATCTGTGGGTCAGTTTTGGAGATCACACTTTTTCTCCTGATCCTCCTGTCTCCACCTTCAGCAAATCCTACCAGCAGCACCACCATACTTTTCAATACTGTTTCTTGCAGTCTGTTAACAGTCTCAGTCTGGATTTAGTCTCAGTCTGTTTCTACATTATGAGAAGTATCTTCCCTGGATCTACTGTTTCTACCCCTCCCTCATCAGAAGTAACTTAGCTGTATTAGGACTGTTTGTTTGCACCCCCACCCTTCCAAAAAGGAGAGAAGTAGGATTTATAAAGCCCAAAACCCCAAACAGAAGCTGGTTAGTGCTGAGCATGCTAATCCACACTAATCCATGGGAGCTACTTCCTGCTGCACTGTTGAGCATGCTAAGCAGGCCCAGCCCACATTTTCAGAAATCAAAGACTGGGAAGAACAAGAGGGGAACTGGGGAGACATTCTGCTCAATTGAAAAGGACAGTCAAAAGGAAGCTCAGTGAGGAAGCCAGATGAAAATAGGTCACTGGTGATAAATAACCACCCTGCCTACTTATTTGGTTCTCTATTGGAGACCACATGGGAAGGTGGGACAAGCTCTCCAGAAGCCTGCAGGGTTGGAGCTATGCCTCTAGCAACTAACAGTGACCTTGATCTGCTGCCTGATCTTTCTGTGCTTCAGTTCAGTTTCCTCACCTGTGAAGTGTAGGAATTAAGCTCTTACCTCATGAGAATGCAGAAACTTGCCATTAATGACTCTCCTTTAGTGCTGTGGCTATAGCTCAGTAAAGCGTTTATCTAGCATATTGGTTTGGGCTCTAGCACAACAGGCAGAATGAAAGAAAAGAAAAAAAGAAAGAAAATAATCCTCCTGTTTAGCTGGATGTGGACATGCACACCTGTCTACATTCAAGAGGTGAGGCAGGAAACTGCAAATCTGAGGCTAGCCTAGGCTAAACAGTTGAGTCAGAAAACAAAAGACTCCCCCTTCTCTTTGTATCCACAGGATGCAGGCAGGGTCTGCTGGTCATGTCATTGCTCAGCTCTCATTTTCGTTGTTTTACTTCTGTGGCGTTGAAGATCAAACCCACTGCTTTGATGTGCTCTAGCACTCAGCCCCACTTCAGGCCTGGCAATGCTTTCAGGTGACTTAATAAAGTCTGCAGCTGTAATGCTGGGATTCAACTGCACACACCAAAGAGGACAGGCACTAATGAAATCTTTACTGTTCCCAAAAGCAAAGACTTGTAACCCATGGCTTCTGAAGAAGAACTCTTCAACTATTCCATGAGACCACATGGAGGCCAATTTATAAAAGAAGTTAGGATATCCACCAAGTTGGGTCAGAGTGAGAGAAAGGCAAGGTTCACACAACTGGATATGCTAAACTCAGAACAAAATGATTCCCCGATAAGCAGAAGAACTAATAATGAAGCAGTCTTCAGTGGTGAGATTAATGCCTTCTCAACATAAAGGCAGATACCCAGAAACAGAAACTTCTTCCAAAAACTAAGAATAAATGGAAAGTATCTTTTTAAAGTCAACGAATTAGCATTTGTGGTACATACAGCTAGCATTATCATTTACTTAGGTTTCACAACAGCTCATAAATTTATGGCTAATGATGATAAAATCTAACAAATTCTGGACATTTGCCATGCACTCACTATCTTATAGGCTTACGAGTCTTGAGGAACTGAGGTGTTGAATATTCCAGGAGATACATAGCTAAGACATGCAGAAATAAGAACCTGAATGCAATGTCTGACTCTAAAGAGTGTTCTAGTCAGTCAGTAGTGCTGTTTCTCATGACACACAACTGAAGCTAGAAAGGATCAGGAAGGTTGCCCAAGCCAGCAGCAAGCTGAGGTCTGTTCTGCACTGTCCCTTTCTGGCTTATCTATACTAACCCAGCAATGAACACCTTACTGACTTAGAGTCAAAATTTCTGTTCAGCTTGAAGTCCTGGTTCCCTTAACTAGGCTAAGGGAATGAAAACAACTGTCATAAGTATAAAATCAGCTACAATGTGGTGCAGTGCATAAAATGGCAAGAAGGCAAGCTGTATGACACTGCTTGTACTCAGCACTAGAGAGCTGTCTCACATCTTCCTGGAAGTGGGTGGAGCATGAAAAAGGATCAAGCCAAAGAAAGAGTAGCTTGACTAACTGTTTTGCCTGAAGCAAATGCCACATGAGGACCATACTTCACACTACATTATCCCAAACCTCATCTCAGAAAGACTGAGAAGTACTGTTTGCACTGGAGGGGGCAAAGTTTGACAAGGATCTCTTACCTTTGTAATATATACTCACAGCACCATAAGATTAAAGATATTTTCTGATGGGTAAATATTATGTATTATGGTCTTATTTGTTTAAAACAGTATAGAAGCTGTGATGGCACACATCTTTCATCTAGCATTTGAGAGGCAGAGGCAGGAATAGTTTTATGGATTTATGGCTACCCTTGTCTAACAGAGAGTTCCAGATCACCCAGGACTACATATTGAAAGCCTGTCTCAAAACAAAACAAACACAAAGGGTTAGAGGGGCTGGAGAAGACTCAGCAGTTAAGATCATTGGCTACTGTTCCAGAGGATTTGGGTTCAATTCCAACACCCACATAGTGGTTCACAACCATCTATAACTTTAGTCTCAGGGGATCTGACACTCTGTTCTGACCTCAGTGGGCATGGCATGCACATGGTGCACAGACACATACGTAGGCAAAACACCCACACACATAAAAAATATAAAACCCATAAAACACTGTAGAGACTTTGAGTCTGTACCATTATAGATAAATATATTAAACAGAGAAAATAGATGCAACATAGTATCACAAAAATCTGGACATAATATTGTAAACAGTAATCTCAGTAATCCAGAGGCTGAAGCAGGAAGATCATAGGTTGCAGGCCAGCTTGGAATCCAGGGCAAGATTTTGCCTCAAACAAAACACAACAAGCCTTCTGAAAATACGAAGTATAAATATCTAAAAGACATAGACAACTCAAAGAAGAAGAAGAGGAGGAGGAGGAGGAGGAGGAGGAAGAGGAAGAGGAGGAGGAGGAAGAAGAAGAAGAAGAAGAAGAAGAAGAAGAAGAAGAAGAAGAAGAAGAAGAAGAAGAAGAAAAGAGATATGAAAACAGATCTCAATCATAAATACTCTTGCCCCCAAAACCTGGCAGCTGGGGTTTGATCTCTAGAAGCCACATAAACATGGAAATAGAAAACCAACTCCACAAACCTGTTGACCTCCACTCATGTGCTGTGCCATTCAGGCACTTCCCCAAATAATAATATAATAAAAAAAATCAAAACAAAACAAAAAAGTCCAAATAGCCCTCAATGATTGAATGATATTCAGCTTCACTCAAGAAGTGAGAGATGCAATTAAGGTAAACTGGATTGTCAAAAATCACAAAATCTGGTGTGAATTTTATATTAGTAAAACCACAGGGAAAGAGGAAGACACTCAAGCTGCTGACAGTAATGCACGTGCCTTTATGTAAGGAGGGCTGGTGGTGCTTAACAAAACTACACATATATGGCTTCTAAATTTACACCAAAAGCAAGCCTCACAACACATACACTTGAAAACTATTGAAATACTGAAAACCTAAATGCCTGTATATAGGAGACTGACTGAGCAAGTGATGCTATAGGCACACAACAGATACTGTACAGCTGTGGATTTTTTTGCTGGCTTGTTGTTCTTTTGGGACAAGGTCTCACTTTGTAGTTCTGGTTGGCCTGGACTTGCTATGCAGACCAAGTATGTCTCAAATTTAGAGATCTACCTTCTTCTGTTTCCTAAGGGCTGGAGGGAAAAAAGGGTATGCGCCACCACACCTTGATGTGTATAGCTGTTTTTAGAGTGATGAAGATTCTATAATCAACATGAAATCATCCAGAATATAGTATAGGTAAGCAAGCAGAACAAACTCTATTTACTAATTTATTACAGGTTACCAAGACTAGGAAATAATATATAATATACATGGATCTTATTTACACAAAATGAAACAGAGGAAGGAAGAACCAAAAAGCACCAATACCGATGTGCTGAGTGAAACAGATAAGAAAATGACAACAGCACACAAAAGAGAGACAGAGTGAGTGAGAGTGAGAGAGAGAGAGAGAGAGAGAGAGAGAGAGAGAGTTTGTTATTGTTATTGCTGTCTCATTCCCAGCAGATTTCCTGGGGACAAATCATAATATTAACTGGTAAGCTACAGAGTGCATTTAGCATAACTATGAATACAAATAAATGGCAACTATGTTTTGGAAATAACATCAATTCTATTTTAACACCATTCCAGGCCTCAAAAGCAGTTTCTCTAGCCAGCCCCCTCTCTATTCTTTTGGTTATAAACATAATAGGTACATAAAAATGGGTGGGGAGGCATAGTAAGGGGGAAATGGTGTCTTTAGTAGACTAAATAAAATGCTGATAAGCTTCCATTAAATTTCCACATCATTATGGACTCCCAAGACTTGTGTAATGATCTTTGTCTCCAAATTCTTATCTCCCCTCTTTGGCATGTCTAATTTTCTTTGCATGAATGTCTTTGCTCATATGTCTGCATCTTAAATACCAAAAGCTTATAAAAATAGTCATTTTAAATACCTAACACCCCTGGAATATTTCTACCCATGGGCACTTAAATATAGAACTTATGTTCAGAGTGCTTGCACTATGATTTTGCTGTTATTCTAAAAGGCATCTGGGACACTGTGAGCACGCCTCCTTGTGGTCAGAACAGAACACTTCATTCTTTCATTTTTTCTCACTTTCCCCCTTTCTTCCTTTAAATTTTTTTTTGGGTGGGGGGAGAAGTGGGAAATACTAGGGATTGAACCTAGGAACTTATGCATGGTGGTAGGCATGTGCTCCACCAAGCTTATCCCCAGTCCTAGACTGTTTCATTTCTTCTCTAACCCTCCAAGTCTGAGACATGCTTGGATATACAATGTGGTGTTGTTTTGAGACAGAATGTCATGTATAGTCCTGGGTGGGCTAAAAGTCACTATGTAGCCCTGGTTGGCCTTGAGCACACAATTTTCCTGTTTCTGCCTCCAAGTTCTTTGAGGACAGGCATCCACCACCAAACAAGGCTTCTCACAGGAATAATTTATGGAGAGACTGTTTCTTATGTGTGAATAGTAACGATCATACATTTTAATGTACAGATTAAAGACACTGATTTAAGTATGTGGATAAAACTGAGAGGCAGAGAGCACAATATAAAGAGGAGGTCAAGAAGACCAGGGAGATTGTGAGAAGATGTTATTACTCAATTTATACTCTGAAAATTACTGCTTATGTATAGGAGATATAATATAATCAGTTAGGCCTCCTTTTTATTAACAAGTATATAGAATACTAGTGGAATCTAATAACTAAAACAATTTTCTCACAGGTAAATATGTGTTATAATTTGTTTTTAGAAGTAAAATGTCAGAAATAATGTGTGACAACAACCATAAAAAGCATTGCTCAGAATGTTACATAGTTTTGATGGGGAAATGTATTAATTTTTTATCTTAAGTGTGTTTAACATGTTTCAATATGGGCACACATGTGCCATAGCATGTGTGTGGAGGTCAGGTACAGTTCCTGAAATCACTTCTTTCTTCTCCTAGGTTCCAGGGATCTCACATCAGGCTTGTGTGTCAAGGGCTTCCCTGCTGAGTTATCTTGCCAGCCCAGATTGGCAAGTATTTTGAGTGATTCTTGGGGGAGAAAAGATGGATGAAAAGTTCATTATTTCCATACCAAAAGAGGATAGCAAAAATGAAAACCAAGCAGAAGTTGCCTGGGATGCAATCTTTCCCCTGACCTTTTGGGACTTTAGGATGCTATTTTAAGATTCTCTAATTAAATGGTTCTAGGAGAATTAACCACCAAGAAATAAGTGTGGGCTTTTTCCAACTTGAAAAAAGACAGAACGTACATACTGCTTTACAACTGTTGGCTATCAGACTGGCCGTCTTCTTGAAGGTCTTTTCAAGGTAGTGGGCAAACCTTTCATTCTCATTTTCTTTCGACCCTAGCTGAAGAAATTCACCTATCAAGAAGGAGAAGGTTACTTGAGATATGATTTTACTGCCTGGCTAAATACCAGGATTGAATAAAACAGAAAAGTCATAATCAACTTACCACGCACTAAATCTTCAATAACTTGGGTTAAAATAGATGTAACAGCTGTGTTTCCAATCCGTGCCAGAACTATGGACGCTGCAGAAAGAATTAAATCTCCAGCAAGAACAGCCTGGAAAAAGGAGAAAAAACCCACTACAGATAAAAAAATTCACAGCTATATCAGTAGTTAAGCACCTGCCTAGTATACACAGGCTTGACCCCCAAGATATTAATGTGCCCAGAACAAATTATTAGTTATAAATTATGCAGTCAATTATATGGTATAATCAAGTACACAATCTATACATGCATATTACTTTGCATATTTAAAGATATACATCAGTTCTACTCTCATTACACAGAAATGCTAGAGTTCACAGAAATTTTTACTCACAGAATTTTATTTTATTTTTTAAAAAAGTTAGCTGTCTTCCAACTTGTTATGTAGCCAAAGTGGATTTTGAACATCTGATCTTTCTGACTCCACCTCCTGAGTGCTAGGATTATAGACATGCATCATCACACCCCATTCATGAGATGTTAGGGCTTGAATTTGGGGCTTTTCTATATGCTAAGCATGTGCTCTAGCAACAAACCTATATCCCTGCCCGAGTTAATAGAATTTTCAAAATAATCATGTTAGTATTTATCTGTTCTCTAGTATCTAGAATAGTGCTACTTGGTATGTGCTTACTAGTTATCACTTCATAAAATTTATTCCCATTGAAGCACAGCCAGCACATGAGACTATTGACAAACAAGAGGGAACCAGGAGCTTTAAGTATGTGAAGTACAATGGAAGAGGGGAAGTTCTTTTCATGTATTTTGGTTTGTTCTCAACTATTCAAGACTGCCAATGGAGGCACGTGTGGGTGAATGTGTGTCTGATCGAAGAAGACCTACACATCCTCCTTTGCAGTTGCTCAACTTCATTCTTCAATCCATAATTTATAAATCCTCAACTCAAAGTCCCTATTTTGCATGCTCCCTTCAAGCGATGCTAATAAAATAGGAAATACGTTTTAAAACAAATATATAGGAGCTGGAGAGATGGTTCAGCAGTTAAGAGCACTGGCTGGTCTTTCACAGGACCTGGGTTTGACTCCCAGCACCCACATGGTGGCTTCTAAATACCTGTAAACCCACTACCAGGGGACCTAATGCTCTCTTTTAGCCTCCTTGTGCACAGGCACACAAGTGGTGTGCATACATACATACAGGCAAAACACTCATACCCGTAAAATAACAATTATATACATATATATTCAATATATCAAACATACTTATTTCATGTATGTGTGTGTGAACCAAATCTTATTAGGACCTCTTTTTTTTTTTTAGTTTTTTATTTTTTATATATTTGAATTACAAACAAGATTGAATTACATGACAATCCCAGTTCCCTTCTCCCTCCCGTCCGCCCCTGCCACCTCCCAAACAAAAATCCTACCTATCATATGTCCTTTCTTCTAATCTACCCCTGACTCGACCTTTCTGCTTCCTCATGACCTCTGCATCCTTCCTTTTCTTAGGACCTCTTTTTAAAGTTTTGATGGTGGAATACTATTTCTGAGATTTTTCTGTTTTGCAGTTTTTATTTGCTTCGATACTCTGGAACATGCAACAAATAACATATGCTTATGGGTTTAAATGAATATAGGCAATCCAATAGAAAAATGTAGATTCCTCTAGAAATATGCATGCAAATGCTTTTCCTTATAACTAGGAGAAATTCTACATGAAACAGTGAGGACGGGTGATGGTGGCACACGCCTTTACTCTCAGCAGATCTGTGAGTTCAAGAGTTCAAGGCCAGCCTGGCCTACAAAGGTACCCAGAGAAATCCTGTCTTGAAAAAAAAAAAAAAAAAAAAAAAAAAAAAAAGAAAAGAAAAGAAAAAGAAACAGTGAGTAAGGAGAAACACCAAGTTTGATTTTGCTGTTAACTACAGATACAATACACTTCTTTGAAATTTCAAAGACCACATTCAAACAGGTCTATTTACAAATCTGAAAAGCAAATGCAATCCCATAAGCATGTGATTTGATATGAAACACTTTCCAAAACAACAATAGAAACCATCATACCTTTTTTTCACCCCAGATTTTATTAACTGTATGTTTTCCTCTTCGAGAACTTGCATCGTCAATAACGTCATCATGAACCAGACTAGCAGTGTGGATCATTTCTGCAATTAAGGCTACGGAGCGCTGGTTGGCTTGCATATCTCTAATTAACAGAAAGCAATGCTTTTTTAACAGACGCCTCCTAGAACCTTCTCAGCAATCATCTTGTGAAAACTGGATATCGGATCTAGGATAAAGAATTTTATTTCTCTAAGAGAAACTGTATAAAAATGTTGGCTGTCCTACAGAGCCATTTCTGTTATTTGGAGAACATTCTAATAATCTAGAGACCCAGCTATGACACTGGGATGTTCACTTACAAAATGGTAAAACATCTTAGAAGACTGGCCATTGGGTGGAATAAAATCATCTTTCTGTCCAACAGAAGTGGCCTTGGTCAGACATCCAAGTTTACAATCAGTTTACAATTTCAGGGCTGGAACCAGTGGCCCAGGAGTTAAGTGCAACAACCTAAGTTCAATTCACAGAACCCTCAAGGTGGAAATACTCCTGCAATGGACCTTCATGTGCATACCTCAGGATGCATGTGCTCACACACATAACACATACACACACAAATAAAAGTATTTTACAAAAAGTGGTTTGCATGGTATGAAGTTTTTTGCTTTTGTCTTTTTTATGTATAGTGTTTTGCTTGCATATATGCCTGTGTACCACATGTGTGCCAGCCCAAGGTCAGAAGAGGATGTCAGATCCCCTGATACTAGAGTTACTGATGGTGTAGTCTGTCATGTTAGTGTTGAGAATTGAATCTGGAGCTTGTCTGCAAATGGTGCTATGAAAACTGTGGCTTCTGGGAGTTGGTGGCGCTTGCCTTTAATCCCAGCACTCAGGAGCCAGAGGCAGGCGGATCTCTGTGAGTTCAAGGCCAGCCTGGTCTCCAGATCGAGTGCCAGGATAGGCTCCAAAGCTACACAGAGAAACCCTGTTTTGAAAAACAAAAAAAAGGCAATCCTACCAAAAGTAATCTACAGATAGCACAATTCTTCACAGACCTTGAAAGAGCAATACTTAACTTCATATGGAAAAACAAAAAACTCAGGATAGCCAAAACAATCATGTGCAACAAAAGGATCATCTGGGGGCATCACCATTCCTGACTTCAAGCTCTTACTTCAGAGCTATAGTAAGGAAAACAGCTTGGTACTGGTATAAAAACAGACAGGTAGACCAATGGAATCGAATTGAAGACCCCGATATCAACCCACATACCTATGAACACCTAGTTTTTGACAAAGAAGCTAAAAATATAAAATGGAAAAAAGAAAATATATTCAATAAATGGTGCTGGTATAACTGGCTGTCAACATATAGAAGAATGCAAATAGATCCTTATCTATCACCATGCATAAAATTCAAGTCCAACTGGATCAAAGACCTCAATATAAATCCATCCACACTGAACCTCATAGAAGAGAAAGTGGGAAATATATTTGAACACATATGCACAGGAGACCACTTCCTAAATAGAACACCAGTAGCACAGACACTGAGAGCAACAACTAATAAATGGGACCTCCTGAAATGGAGAAGCTTCTGTAAAGCAAAGAACATGGTCAAAATGGCTCCCTACAGAATGGGAAAAGATCTTCACTAACCCCACATTTGACAGAGGGCTGATCTCCAAAATATACAAAGCACTCAAGAAACTAGAAATCAAAATACCAAATAATCCAATTAAAAAATGGGGTACAGATCTAAATAGAGAATTCTCAACAGAACAATCTCAAATGGCAGAAAAACACTTAAGGAAATGCTCAACATCCTTAGTCATCAGGGAAATGCAAATCAAAACCACTCTGAGATTCCATTTTACACTGATCAGAATGGCTAAGATCAAAAACACCAATGACAGCTTATGCTGGAGCGGATGTGGAGAAAGGGGGAAAACTCATCCATTGCTAGTGGGAGTGTAAACTTGTACAGGCACTGTGGAAATCAGTATGGTGATTTCTCAGAATATTAGGGATCAACCTATCTCAAGACGCTGAAATACCACTGTTGGGCATATACCCAAAGGGGGCACATTCACACCATAAGGGCATTTGCTCAATTATGTTCATAGCAACATATTTGTAATAACCAGATCTTGGAAACAGCCTAGATGCCCCTCAACTGAAGAATGGATAAAGAAAATGTGGTATATTTATGCAATGGAGTACTACTTAGAGGTAAGAAACAATAACATTCTAAAATTCATAGGCAAATGGACAGAACTAGAAAAAAAACCATCCTGAGTGAGGTAGCCCCAAACCAGAAAGACAAATATAGTATGTACTCACTCATAAGTGGATACCAGACATAAAACAAAAGATACCCAGCCTACAATCCATAACCCCAGAAAAGCCTGAACCCTCTTCCAGAAATAGACAGAAGCAGATGCAGAAATCCACAACTAACCAATGGGCCAAGCTCCAAGAGTACAATTGAAGTGAGGGAGGAGTGATAATATGAACAAAGGAATCAAGACCATGATGGGGAAACCCACAGAATCAGTTGACTGGAGTTAGTGAGAGATCACTAACTCAGGTCTGACAAATGGGGAACCTACATAAGACTGTACTAGACTCCCTTAATATAGGTGACAATGGGGCAACTGGGACAATATGAGGCCACTGGCAGTAGGTCCAAGACTAATGAACAACCTGACTTAGTGGAGCCTATTCTATATGGAGAGATACTATGCCCATTCTAGCCACAGGAGTGTGGGGGTGGAGAGGTGCCTTGATCCTTCCACAACTAGATGATGGAACAGACATAGTGGACTTCCTGTAGGAGGCCATACCTACAGGAGCAGATGGGAGGAGGAGGGGTGTGGGAGAAGAAGAGAAGAGGGAGGGGGAACTGGGATTGGAATATAAAACTAAATTAATAAAAAAAGCAAAAAAAAAACCTATCTTAAATGAATATGGCAAGACCAAAAACTGCCTTCTAACTTATATTTAACTTTTTAAAATTTTATTTGTTTATTATGTATACAACATTCTGCTTCCATGTATATCTGCACACCAGAAGAGGGCACCAGATCTCATAAAGGATGGTTGTGAGCCAGCATGTGGGTGCTGGGAATTGAACTCAGGACCCTTGGAAGAACAGTTAGTGCTCTTAACCTCTGAGCCATCTCTCCAGCCCTATATTTAATTTTGTGAGGAATCTGAATTCATTTCTCCTCACAAATTACAGGATAAGAATTTTCAAGGTGATACAGTGATGTGAATTTAACAGTAAAAATGGAATGCTCTAATTTCTTTCTTTTTTTTTTTTTTTTTTTTTGAACAGGTACTATGTTGAGCAAGCTAGACTCAAACTCCTGGGCTTAAGCAATCTTTTCCCCTTAGTCCCAAGAAGCTGTGACTACAGGTGCACCCTACTGACATCTGGCTTCTTTGGAAGCATAGTCATTACTATATCACCATGTGTAGGAATTGCAAAAAAGTGAAATTCAATAAAATCAAACTGAAAAAGTACACTGTCATTTCATTATTTCTTTTTTTTTTTTGTTTTCGTTTTTTTCTCAAGACCAGGGTTTTTCTGTACAGTTTTGAAGCCTGTCCTAGAGTTCACTCTGTAGACCAGGCTGTCCTCCAACTCAGAGATCCATCCACCTGCCTCTGCCTTTTTCTCCTGAGTGCTGGGATTAAAAGTGTGCACTACCACCACCAGCTTTGTTATTGTTGTTATTTTTTTTGTTGTTATTTCTTTTTATACTAAAGCATGACATTTGACTTTTGTACTAAGCAAATGTTTACCATAAGGGTGTATCTTCTGAGGGGAGGAAAGAGAGAGGCATAATAGATGGCCTTTCCTTTGAAGATCTCATCTGAACAACTGTATAAGTAGTGCTCCACAAAGTCATGACAGATAGTCATGAAAATGACACAGGTACCCACTATACAGAGTAGCCAACATGCAAGCATCTTCTGATCTTATTGAAGTAGGATTTTAAATTGGGGTGCTGTGGTGGTTTGTCTCACCCAAAGCTTTAGAATTCAGTCTCAGCCTCTTAACTGCTTCCAGCCGCAACACCAACTATAAGGTGCTGCATATTACATATTAAATATAATCATATGCTATTATATAAATTATTAATTACCTTTATAAAAATAATGTATCTAATATTACATGTTATATATATTAAATATCACAATTCAAAACCTAGCAGTTCCAAGTATTTTCAGATCACAGGAGACTCTTTCAAGGAGGAACAAGAAAGAGCAATGCCAGGTATAGACAAACCATCACACAAAACCAGCACAGTGGAGCTGTAGACAGCATAGCTCACAGGGAAAGAAGGCTCTTGGCATGTGAGAGGCTTTTATCTTCAGCACCAATACAAGACACTGCATCAGTGAAAGAGAAAAATTAATGTGCAGGCAGTTTTCAAGAGCTTGTGCTGAATCTATCACTTGATCCTTAGACCTTCTGTTAGGAGCTATCTGGATAAACTTACTAGGCTCTCTTTTCTTTGAGTTGATGCATAGAAAAATATATGTGTTTTTATAGTTTTAAAATATAAACACTTTCTGAGAATATTATCTCAACTGAATTTCAGTCTAACAGAACACATACTTCTCTAAACAACTGTTAAGGCCTTTGACCTTTGCCATGTACTCCCAAGTTGGGCATCGTTTCCATTATTATTACAAGCTATGTCAACAAATAGGGCTCTTACTGGAAGGATGAAATGGCGAACACTCAACAAGAAACTAGCATTTAATAATTGTAATTCAAGGGTATGAAAACAAAGGTTTTGAAATAATTTGAACCGGGTGATGTATGTACGTAAGCCCAACTCTTGGGACCTGAGGTAGGAATATAATGAGTTTGAGGTCAAACTGTTTCAAAAAACAAAGTCTTTGTTTTAAGGTACTAGGTTTTTAGACTAGAACCTTATATATGCTAGGCAAGTGCTCTCCCACTGAGTGGTGTCTCCAGCTAACAAGTTTTTGAAACTCTAAAGACTATACATACACATATATACAAGTACTGTTTGGAATGGTTACATTGCTGATTTAATCAGAACTCTTGCTTAAGGATTTACTTGGCACTGTGACATAATCTCTATATGAGTACACATATCCCAACTTTATTCTTTCCCCCCAATATAATTACATTTTTATGTTTTTTCCTTATATCTGGAAATTATGGCCACTGCTTACCCTGAATGAGGCATGACAATAATTTACAGATTACCAAAAAAGTTAATACTGTCTTTAAGATGAAATCTCTGAAGTGCCAAGCTGAGTCATGTCTTAGGAAAGCTGGGTACTGTTCCTATTTCCTGCTGTGAAATAGCTGTCACACCTTCCCAGTTTCTGGAAGAGGTGGCAGATAACATAGCATAAGAAACAGGTTCTTTGTCTTGAAACCCGGCTACACCCTCCATAAGCAGTGACTCAGTAAACCCTTCAGGATCCTTTTTCCTCTTCATTAGATTTAAAAAAAAAATAATGAATTTTAAACAGAAGTAGGTAAGATACAATGATTCACATACAAACCCTTTATCTAGCTTACACATGACTTTGGTTTTATATTTTTAGATATAGGCTATCCCTATTTTCCAGGTTGACTTTGAACTCATAGGTTTAAGCAATCCTCCTGCCTCAGTCCTCTGAACAGTTAAGACTAAAGGCATGTACCACTGAGACTAACTTAGAAGTTACTTTAAACATGTTTCCCATATTCAAATATTAATATACTATATTAACATATTATACGATGTCTTAAATATATTACAGGTAAATCTACAGTGTGTGTATGTGGGGGAATACTGGTGGTATCAATATCAAAGGGATTTCAAGTGAGGCATGATGGCATACCCTTGTAATCCTAATATTTAGAAAACCAAGGAAGACTAAACACAACAAGATCCTCTTTAAAAAGAAAAGTGTCTTCAATATAAGGGTATAAGGAGGATGCCTTCAAACTTGACCTTTTGGCCTATTACATTTAGTCAAACAACATGTGTTCATTGGTACAATAGTGGCAAATATACAGTACAACCAACTAATTTCTGAGTGGATTTGAAGCCCGCCCCACAGGAGGGAATCCACACCTGGCACTATAAATCCAGTAAAAAGACTGTGGTTTTGGGTGTGTGTGTCACAGGTACCAGTGGGGAAAACTACTGCTGTTGTTTTGCTAAATAATCATGATAGGTCTGACAAATTCCCTTCTAAGTAACTGCTTATGCCCATTGAATAGTACTATTGTCAACTTCAGCCAGAAAAGCTGCATTCTGCTGTGAGCAGTAGTAACTGTAAAGATCCAGAACTGGTCAAAGTGATGAGAACAAATGGCTGGTGAAAGCTCCGCCATAAATGGGACATCTATAAACTGCTAAGCCTCCGGGAACATCACTTGGGAAAGGGTAGAAAGAACATCAGGGTAAAAAGGGGAGGGACAGCATGGGAATGCTGACTTCTTGGTATGTAGTGAATATTGCACTCTTGAATTTATAACAACTGAGATTACCTGCATAAGAATGAGCCTCTCAACATCTTATCATGGAAGCAATGATGGGATGAGGCCCAACCCCTCCCTGAGGATTTATGGTCAGTTAATGATTGCTTGGGGAGGGAGAGACATCATATTAAGAGGTGTAGCTGTTGGTAAAATACTCACACTCCTGTAATAGCAATTACTGGGTAATCAAAAGCAAGAACAAAAGAGCATGAAAGCAGAAGGAGGGCTGGGGAGGAAGGTTAGTGGGGGACAAGAGGAGGTAACAGGGGAGTTGTGAATTTGATCAAAAGACATTAAACCTATGAACATGTGATAATAAAACCCACTGTTATGCACATGTATAATCAATATATGCTAATAAAACACTTTGAAAGAAGAAGTTGGGGATTGAAAGCATGCCAGTGGGTACAGAATCATTTCAATGCACACCACAATCAGGAGTCATGCCCACATGCCAGACACTACCTCTGTGCTCTGTCTCTCATAAGCTCTCCTTACCAGTACTCGGTAATGAAGGTGCAGTTCAAATATCCCCAAACAAAACTTACTGCAATGCCCTTTCTATGGTATAATCTCCTGTGTTTTCTGCAACCAACAGTTTATAAAAGTTCAAGAGAAAAATTCCGACTATAGGAAATAATGGCTTTTAAAAAATTTTTATTTGTCAACACATTTAATTATTTTATGTGAGAGGGGGAGTTCACATGCCATGGTGCTTATGTGGAGGTCAAAGGGAATCAGCTTCCTCTATTCACCATGTAGGTCCTAGGGATTGAAGAACCTAGGCCATTAGGCTTGGTGGCAAGTACCTCCACCCACCAAGCCATCTCATTGGCCAGGAAATAATGATTCTAGATAGTGGAGAAAAATGTTCTTTCCCATACTATATCTAAAATTAATAAACTGTTTTATGTATTTAGTTAAAGAAATTCATAAACAATTTCTCTAGAAGAGTAGCCTTTACCTCAAAAGTAATTTTTAACTAAAAATTATATATATATAATTATATATATTTTGTATTTTATTTTGTGTATGTATATTTGTACCATGTGCATGCTGTACTTGCAGAAGTCAGAAGAGGGGGGTCATATCCCCTAAATTGGTATTAACAGACAATTGCAAGCCACCATGCTGGTGCTGGTAGGGTCCTCTGCAAGAGCAACAAGTGCTCCTAATTAATTGCTCAAGTCTCTCTCCAGCCCTGAGAAAGCATTTCAAAGACAGTGTTGGTTACTATCACCCAAAGGAGTGTCTATCAGATAGAAGCCACGGTGCACAGGAAGCATCAGAGCTGCCAGCAAGAGAGTGGTTGGGGCACAGACAGCAGCGGTGCGGAGACTGAAGGACTTGTCAAGTTGGTCTAGACGAAGCACTTCTGCTGCTCTGATTTCCACATCAAGTGAAGGTGGCTTAAGTGTTGTTTGAAGTTTCCCTATAGGTGCAACACATACTGTGGGATCCTAAGTCTCAAGCTATGTGGAAGCCAACTCTAGGCGTAGTGTGACATGTTTAACACTGACTGGCACAGCTACAGAACAGAAAAGCTTTAGGTAGAGAAGTATCTGCTAAGAAGCAACATCCGATACTCAGTTTTACAGCATCATCACTAAAATTAGTGGTGCTTGCAGAGTGTGTTTGATCATCCTGTGTTTAGATGATCAAACACAGGAATAGAGGAGAATAAGAAAAAGGTCCTGTCATGAAAGGCAATGGGAAACTCTTTTCCTTTTAATATTTCCTTTAATGCTAAACATGTAATTTTAAAATTTTATGTATGTTCAAGATTTGAGGACTACTAGTTATGTTTTCTTTAAACATTTCTCGGGCTGGAGAGATGGCTCAGAGGTTAAGAGCACTGACCACTCTTCCAGAGGTTCTGAGTTCAAGTTCCAGCAATCACATGGTGGCTCATAGCCATCTATAATGAGATCTGTTGCCCTCTTCTGGTGTGCAGGCATACAGGGAGGCAGAATGCTGTACACATTATTAATAAATAAATCTTAAAAACAAAACCAAATATTTCTCTTTTGCACAGTGAAGGTTACAGAAAGCAAGGTGTATGTATGTATGCACTTACCGCCCACAATAATAGCACAGTGTAACATCTGAACAAGCTTTGGCTGTGTTTGCAATGGTTAAGTGAACAGCTATATATCTTGGGACTCTTTACTTTCTAATGGGGAAATAAATTGTCTTTCAAATGTTTCCAATATATTTGCAATTCTAGTTTTCTACTGTGGACATCTAAAAGTCTGAAAAAGAAGATGCTTACTTAGTGAGTCCATCAGCGTCTACACATGGTTTAGTGGATTCTTAGATGCTGCTTCTTAAGTGAGCAATTAATTAATAACTGTATGAAGGACATCCTTTCAAATAGAAAAGAACAGCAAAAGCAGGGGATAAAGTAACTCACCGGGAGTTATTATGATGAATATTACACGCTCGGGCCATTAGCACCACAATAATCGGTCTAAAGGCTTTTCCTTTGCCATCGAAGTAGTATTCGGACATGTCCTTCAATTCTTTGGTGGTGATGCACAGCTCCTGAAATATAGTTTCTTCTTGTTAGCATAGCATTACAGTCATGCAGACAGCGTTTTTGTTTTCTTCAAAACTTCAGTTTTATTTTAGTGTACTCATTTCAAATGAGAAATTCAACACAAAAATTATGTTTGGCTTTGCCTCAAGTGGTGTGGTGTCAGTATTAGGGTATGTATTGCCACCTGCCCTATGATAGCTAGTGATGAGAGGACAAAGAAAGGAACAGAGGGCCAGGAAGCAACTAGGAAGGCAGAGGACAATGTGAAGTGTAGGAGTCTTGGAAGCAGACCAGGAGTATCCTGAATGGGGAGTCAGCAGACAAGAGGACAGCTAGGACGGAGTACAGATCAGTAAGCCTGTCTAAGCCTAATTTAGCAGAAGACATTTCAAAGGTTCATGGAAGAAATGTAGGGAAGACATGGTTTGCTTGACTGTGGGAACTTCCTATTGATGTGGGGAGACAATTTATCATCCATTATCTGAGTTATGCCCTTGCTATGAAACCCTGGATGGCCTGGAATCTAACACCTTCCTGCTTCTGCCTACCAAATGCTGGATAATAGGGCTGTACCACCATGCCTAATGGAGACAAACTGTTTAAAACTGAGTGGGGTAAAGAGACCCACAAGCAGGCCTGCCCTGGCTTTGAGAAGAAAACACAAGCAGATGGGACATTGTTATGGTGAGCTATGGGAGAGGGAGAGAGGGAGGGATGGTGGAAGAGGGAGAGACAGAGACAGAGAGACAGGTTCATGTCCTGTGGACAGAGGCATATCTGCGGGCCGAGGTAGGTGGTTTGATTGCCACTCAGTGAGATGGTAATAACTGGGCCTGGGATACTGCCAAGGCCCATGCCTAGGTTCATGTCCCTGGTCTATGCTGATATCTGAGGTCCTTGACACCACCAAAGGCTGAGAGGATAGGGCTGTACAGAGTTGGCCCTACCTCTCACTAGCTGCAACACTAGGGAGAACTGGTCCTGATGCTCTCCAGCTGAAGCACTCAGGAGAGAGGATCCTATACCTCACCTGGGTAGCACAAATAGAGCTGACCCTGTTCACAGGGGCATGGCAAGCTGGCCCTAAGGGTGTGAGAATGGGAGAGAAGGTTGCACCCTACTTGTATGCCATGTGGTAGTATGGGTAAGAGAAAGATGACCTCCTTCCCACACCCCTTGACACCCGTAGCAGGGGAGAACCTGACCCAACCTCTCACCAACTGCAGCACTCGGGAGAAAGGGACCTTTGCCTCACCTGGGCAGCACAGTAGAGTTGACCCAGTAGACAGGGGCATGGGTAAGCCCTGAGAGTGTGAGAGGGACATACTTAGTACTACCTGGCCTCATCTGCAGTGTGATGGTTGGGGTGAGGGGAAGATGCCCTCCTCTCTTCCTCTGCAGTTTTCAACTGGCAAAGGAGCTGACCCCTTTACCAGATTCAATACTCGGGAAAGCAGGACCTACTGGTAAGGGCACAGGTGAGCTGGCCCCCAGAACATGAAAGTAGGAGACCTGGCCCTGACCCTAACTAGTTGCAACCCTTGGGAGAATAGGCCCTGCACCTGCCAGGGAAAGCACAATAGAGCCAATCCTGTTGAAGGTGTGGGTGAGCCAGCCCTGAGGTAGTGAGCATGGGAGAGCTGTTCCTACTACTCATTTGTCATGTGGTAGCATGGATAGGGGAGAGAGTCCCCCCACTCATCAAATGCCTGAGGCATGTGTATTTAATGAGTACTGGGCATGCATATGCATGCATGATAAACATGTAGGCTAGAGGACAACCTGTAGAAGTTGGTTTTCTCCTTCCACCAAGTAGGTCCTGGGAGAATCCAAGTAAGGTGCCCTAAAACCTACTGAATGAGCTCCCTGGTCCTCTAATGACATTTTTAACAGAAGTAGAAAAACAACCCTGATATTAAAATATAGAAGCATAAAAAAATCCTAGAGAGTCAAAGCAATCCTGAGTCAAGGACAATGATCTCAAATTATACTACAGAGCCATAGTAACAAATCACAGTACCTGGCACAAAACCAGACACTTAGATAAGTGGAATAGAATAAAAAATCCAGAATTAAACCCACAATGCTACAGATACCCGATTTTTAACAAAAATGCCCAAAACACATATTGGAAAATAAAATTTTAAAAAAGAACACTTCAACAAATAGTGCTGGGATAATGGACATATACATGTAGAAGGATAAACTAAATCCCTGATTTTTACCCCCCACAAAAAGCCAACCAGTGGATCAAATACCTTAATGTAAGACCCGAAACTGCAAAATACTTCAAGATGCAGACATAGTAAAGGACTTTCAATAGGACTCCAATTACTTGAAAAGTAATATCAAGAACAGACATATGGGACTGCATCAAATTAAAAAGCTGTATACCATAGGAAACGAGTGAAAAGACAGCCTATAGAATGGGAGAAAAGTTCACTAGCTATATATTTAAGAGAGGATTAATATTCAGCATAAAGAACTCAAAATATCAAATACCCAAATAACTCAAATGAATACACAGACTACAAATGGCCAAAAATATATGAAAAAGTAGTCAACATCCTTAGCCCTCATGGAAATGCAAACTAAAACTGCTTTGAGGTTTCACCTCACCCTGGTCAGAATAGCTAACAAATAACAAATGCTTATGAGGATGTGTATTTGTATGTGTAATCCACGTACTGTTGGTAGGAGTGTAAAGTGGTCTAGCTACTATGGAAATTAGTATGAAAGTACCTCCCCCCAAAACAAACAACTACAAGTGGAACTTCCATGTGATCCAGTCATAGCACTCTTGGGTATATTCCTGAAGATCTCCAAGCCAACATACCACAGAGATGCTTCATGCCCATGTTACTGCAGCACCATTCATAACAGCCAAGTTATGGAACCAGGCTTTGTGTCTATCAAGAGACGAATGAATCAAGAAAAGGGGGTATACATATATGATGGGGTTTTATTCAGCCTTAAAGGATGAAATTATGTCATTTAGTAGAAAATAGATAAACTACGACCACCTTGTGAAGTGAAATAAACCAGATTCAGAAAGACAAAGGTCATGTTTTTTCTCACTTGTGGATCCTTAGTTTTAAAAAATAAACACATGAAACTACTTAGACCAGCAGGATGAAGGAAGACAAAAGAGAAAGGAATAAAATGAATATAGCTAAAATAAATGATGTATTTGAAAAAAAGAATATATAAAATTCTTTTTATATATTCTGAGTAGAGTTAAGTAGAAGGGGAAGACAAGTAAAGATTTGAGCAATGCAGATTATACACATGTATGAAAATATAAGGCCAATTCTTTTTTTATAAACAACATTCAATAAAACATAAGGATGAAAAAAAGTTGTATATGATGATGCATGCTTATAATACTATAATTCTAGCCCTTGGGAGGCTGAAGAAGGATGGCTATGAGTTCAAGGATAAGCTGGGCTATATAGCAAGACCCTGCCTCAAAACAAAAACTAAGTAAGTATTGATTGATTCAGTGGGTAACACATTGGTAATTTATCCGAAGTCCAGGAAAAGGAGCGATTAGTGTGGGGCATAAAATGTGAATAGTGCATGGAGATCAGCTTCAAGAAACACTGGCTGGGTTTGACTCTTGAAGAACAGAGAGGGCTCTCCATGGTTGTGTACTTGTTATATCTGCCACTCAAGGAATGAATCAGAGCCATGCCAAACTAAGGAACGTACTTACTAATTTGCTAGCATCGAGACAAAGGCATAGGTCACAAAGATTAGCATGACAACTCTTGCTCACAAGGAGCACAGAATTTAGATAGGGACAAGTAGATCAATAACTATAGTTAATACAATACAGAATAATGGGTAATATCACTTGAGATAAAGAAAGCTACTCTGGGAACACAAGGAAAGGCTGGCTCAGGCTAAGGGGGGATTAAAAGTGGGACAGAATGGAGGAGATAGAGTGGCTGGAGTCTGAAGGGGACTGAAAGCAAGAGATAGACTAGAAGGTCATGGAAGAAAAGGACAAGAAGGATCCAAGGGTTCTTCCTAGGATCCTAGGTGATCCCTTCAATAATTGAGATACCAGGAAAAAAAAATAATCAAACTACATATGGGGTGAGAGCATTCCAGATATGAGTTAGATATAGTGATGGATAATTCATGGAGCAGTCTTCTAAGTAGTTAGCTATGTGGGTCTAGAAGAGACAATTCAACCCGGAGTCAAGAGATATTTGGGAGATTAAGAATGGAAATGAATACATAGAGAACATGAGGCTGAGGGTGTGTGTGTGTGTGTGTGTGTGTGTGTGTGTGTGTGTGTGTGGACCCGAAACTGCAAAATACTTCAAGATGCAGACATAGTAAAGGACTTTCAATAGGACTCCAATTACTTGAAAAGTAATATCAAGAACAGACATATGGGACTGCATCAAATTAAAAAGCTGTATACCATAGGAAACGAGTGAAAAGACAGCCTATAGAATGGGAGAAAAGTTCACTAGCTATATATTTAAGAGAGGATTAATATTCAGCATAAAGAACTCAAAATATCAAATACCCAAATAACTCAAATGAATACACAGACTACAAATGGCCAAAAATATATGAAAAAGTAGTCAACATCCTTAGCCCTCATGGAAATGCAAACTAAAACTGCTTTGAGGTTTCACCTCACCCTGGTCAGAATAGCTAACAAATAACAAATGCTTATGAGGATGTGTATTTGTATGTGTAATCCACGTACTGTTGGTAGGAGTGTAAAGTGGTCTAGCTACTATGGAAATTAGTATGAAAGTACCTCCCCCCAAAACAAACAACTACAAGTGGAACTTCCATGTGATCCAGTCATAGCACTCTTGGGTATATTCCTGAAGATCTCCAAGCCAACATACCACAGAGATGCTTCATGCCCATGTTACTGCAGCACCATTCATAACAGCCAAGTTATGGAACCAGGCTTTGTGTCTATCAAGAGACGAATGAATCAAGAAAAGGGGGTATACATATATGATGGGGTTTTATTCAGCCTTAAAGGATGAAATTATGTCATTTAGTAGAAAATAGATAAACTACGACCACCTTGTGAAGTGAAATAAACCAGATTCAGAAAGACAAAGGTCATGTTTTTTCTCACTTGTGGATCCTTAGTTTTAAAAAATAAACACATGAAACTACTTAGACCAGCAGGATGAAGGAAGACAAAAGAGAAAGGAATAAAATGAATATAGCTAAAATAAATGATGTATTTGAAAAAAAGAATATATAAAATTCTTTTTATATATTCTGAGTAGAGTTAAGTAGAAGGGGAAGACAAGTAAAGATTTGAGCAATGCAGATTATACACATGTATGAAAATATAAGGCCAATTCTTTTTTTATAAACAACATTCAATAAAACATAAGGATGAAAAAAAGTTGTATATGATGATGCATGCTTATAATACTATAATTCTAGCCCTTGGGAGGCTGAAGAAGGATGGCTATGAGTTCAAGGATAAGCTGGGCTATATAGCAAGACCCTGCCTCAAAACAAAAACTAAGTAAGTATTGATTGATTCAGTGGGTAACACATTGGTAATTTATCCGAAGTCCAGGAAAAGGAGCGATTAGTGTGGGGCATAAAATGTGAATAGTGCATGGAGATCAGCTTCAAGAAACACTGGCTGGGGTTGACTCTTGTTGGACAGAGAGGGCTCTCCATGGTTGTGTACTTGTTATATCTGCCACTCAAGGAATGAATCAGAGCCATGCCAAACTAAGGAACGTACTTACTAATTTGCTAGCATCGAGACAAAGGCATAGGTCACAAAGATTAGCATGACAACTCTTGCTCACAAGGAGCACAGAATTTAGATAGGGACAAGTAGATCAATAACTATAGTTAATACAATACAGAATAATGGGTAATATCACTTGAGATAAAGAAAGCTACTCTGGGAACACAAGGAAAGGCTGGCTCAGGCTAAGGGGGGATTAAAAGTGGGACAGAATGGAGGAGATAGAGTGGCTGGAGTCTGAAGGGGACTGAAAGCAAGAGATAGACTAGAAGGTCATGGAAGAAAAGGACAAGAAGGATCCAAGGGTTCTTCCTAGGATCCTAGGTGATCCCTTCAATAATTGAGATACCAGGAAAAAAAAATAATCAAACTACATATGGGGTGAGAGCATTCCAGATATGAGTTAGATATAGTGATGGATAATTCATGGAGCAGTCTTCTAAGTAGTTAGCTATGTGGGTCTAGAAGAGACAATTCAACCCGGAGTCAAGAGATATTTGGGAGATTAAGAATGGAAATGAATACATAGAGAACATGAGGCTGAGGGTGTGTGTGTGTGTGTGTGTGTGTGTGTGTGTGTGTGTGTGTATGTGTGCGCACGCACAAGCGCACGAGCCAGAACTCCAAACAGCAGCACAGTTAAAGTGGTTAGGGTAGAAGAGATCAAAGAGGAACACACAAATAAACTGAGGGTGGCTTAAAGACTGAATGAGTCAGGAAAATATGGAAGCTAAAGGAACAGTTTCAAGGAAGGAAGATAGTAAATAGTATCCAGTGTTAACGTAAGTTAAGGCAGAAGGAAGCAGAAAGAATCTACTGTACTCAGGAGGAGGAAGCTCCCATGATCTGAAAAGGAAGACACAAGCAGTGGTGGCGCACTTGGAAAGGGCAAGAGTGAGACAGAGGGGTCAGAATACTATGATGGAAAGGAAGGTGGCTGACACAGGGTTAGGGTAGTCCTGAAAAGGAGGATGGGCTGGGTGTGGTAGCACAGGTCAGTAATTCCAGCATTGTGGGGGCAGGAGGATGGTGAGTCTAAGGCCATTCTGATACACAGGAAGCTCAAGGTCTGCCTAGTGATGTCACAGTGAGAGTTGACCTTAAATTAATTAAACAAGTAAACAAACAAACAAAAAGATGAAAGCTAGTGGTAGTATACTTCTCTAATCCCAGCATTCTGAAGGCAGAGGCTAAAGGGTCACAATTTCAAGGCCAGTTTGAGCTACATGGGGCCTTGGGGTGCAACCTGGTGGTAGAGCACTTGTCTAGCATGTACAAAGTTCTCCATGACACTACTATACTGTTGTAAGGCATTAGGCTAGAATCTTGGGAAAAGATGGTAAATTCTGGATGAGGTATTAAGTTAACAAAGAGGCATATGAACATTATGGAGCAGCATTTATTCAACTTTATTTTTTAATTTGTGTGTGAATACCAGACAACAACTTTGGGTGCCATTCACCTTTCCATTTTTGAGACAGTCTCTTACTGGTCTGGAGCTCACCAAGCAGGATAGGGTGGGTGGCTGGTCAGCCCCAATACTTATCTCTATTCCATCACTGCAATGACAAATGTGTGCCAGTATGCCCAGCTTTTTTATGTGGTTTTGGAGATCAAATCCAGGTTCTCATGCTTGTACAGCAAACACTTTACCAACTGAGCCATCTCTGCAGCCTTAATTAAAAAAATTCTGTCACTGCACAATTCACAACAGTGTTAGCAGCCTAAGGACAGAGGCTAGGCAATGGGCTACGGTCATGGTTTGCTTCGGCTTTCGACATTGTGAGAGGCCCTGAAGGATAGGCTTACCATAATCCAATCCACACACTGGACAATGTTATAATAATATACACAATATTTTACATAATGAGTTGAAGGAAGAAAGTTCTATTTGGAGCAGCTTAACAATAGCATTCAGAATTAGATACTGAAGATGGTCACAGAAGTCACTTTATATATACATATAAAGATGGAAGGTTAAATGGCTCACTGAACAAGCATGTATTTCCTGTACCTATTTTCTTAAGTTCTCCAATTCTGCAATAACATCTCTCTGCATAGTAACATGTATTGCACCCTCCATACTGCCCGGTACCAGGCTGCACACAGTTGTTGCTGAGGTAACATTTGAAACCTGATATATGCAAATTTAGTGGGCAATGGCATAGTTGTTTTTTTCATATTCGCTATTTGAGACAGCGTCTCATATGGTAGCCTAGCCTAGCTTGGAGCTCACTATGTCACCCTGACGAGCCTTGAACTTGCAATGATCCTCCTGCCTCAGCTTCCCAAGTGCTGGGACTGTAAGTGTGAGCCACTATGAAATGGCTATATTGTTTGCTTGTAATTCTAAAATGTTACTAGGGTTGAGTAAAATAAAACCCTTACCTTTCTAATGTCTTCATACAGACCTTTCAAGTCTCTCCAGCCAAGTTTAAAAGGATCGGTGTATTGCTCACCACTCTGTGTTTGACTACAACAGCACACTGCTGGCGTCCTTTGAGGAAACCTGAAGCCAGTGAAAATGCACATGATCCATTTTTAAGAATTACAAGCACATGCATATTTATATGGTGGGAAATGAAGCTTAGACTTGTTAGAAATCAAACATGAATCTGAAAAGGTCATTGTAATTTAGAAACACACAGAATTATCATCTTGCTAAATAATGCATTAATAGGCCATTTTAATGAACAGGTCCTCAAGAGCCAACAGAGAAAGGCTATTTAATGTTTGTTTTATTCTGAGTAGAACTCAAATTTTACTATGTTCTTATTTTTTAAAATGGCAGAGATCATATAAAACAGACTGTCATGGCTTTTACTTAAATATATTAATATGTTAGCTTAGAAAAATTAGAACTTTACTAGCAGTGAGTATCTTTGTAGCTCTAATATGAATTATAAACTTACTGTGATATACTATGCACATTTGGGAAAACCGATGTTAAAGTCTTCACTAGGCTAAAATAGGGCATCTGTAAAATAAAAGTACAAAGAACTTGTAAGAATATTCCTGGAAAACTTGTTCATAACAACAACTATTCCCATAACTCACAACAAATGTTATCATTTAGTTAGCCATTTATAGAAGGCTGTAAGCTTTAAGAGAAAGATGACAGTCAATAGTTCCCTTTTCTGACTATGAAGACAATACATGTCCTATTAAAACACAGGAATCAGATGTAAGCAGGGGTCAGTCCTGGTATTGCAGGCTTGTAATCCCAGCTACTCAGAATGCTGAGGTAGGAGGATCCCAAGTTCAAGGTTGGCCTAGACAGCAGTGAGTTCAAGGTCATACCAAACGACTTTTAGTGAGACCTTATTTTAAAATTAAAAAAAAAAAAAAAAAAGGGAGAGAGCGAGGGAGCTCAGTAGAAGAGTAGTTACCTAGTTCTTAAGAGGCTGTAGGTCTAATCCCTAGCACTGACAAAACAAAAAGCAGAAAATAAAAATCTCTACAATACATCATTCCTCTAAAAGCTGGGTCCATATTTATTTCTACACCAGAAGAGCAGCAACAAAACAATTTCCTTCCATTTAACTAAGGCTGGTCACAGAACAGGGAAAACTATACTATCTTTTAAATTCTGAAAACACACAGATGCTAAAAGCATCATGGGGGATGGTTAGGAAATGATTTTAACATTAAGGAATTGACATTTATACAAACACTGCCTATGTTAAGTTATTGTTATTACTATTGGAAATAATGTTTCTGGATAACAAATGTTTAGTAAATGAATGAACTAGGAGTACAGCCCAGTGATAGAATATGTGCTTTGTATGACACAGACAAACCACCACCAGCCTCAGGGGCATTTTGATAACATGACAAGGATCCAACAATCATCTGGGCATGGTAGGATATACCTGTAATCCCAGCACTTGGAGGTCAGGGGAGCAGGTGTACCACAAGTTCAAGGTCAGCCTGGGATACATGAAAAGGCTCAGAGAATATAAAACAATTACAGTATACTACCTCTAAGCAATTTAGAGGTGGTAATACTGATTCTAACAATATTACTATTTTTTAAAGATTTTTTTTAAGATTTTTTTTTAATCTTATGTGTGTGGGTACTTAGCCCACATGTATGTAGTGCAGTTTACAAAGTTATATAGGGATATAATGAATTTGTGGCATAGGCATAGGAACATCTGATGTTGGTATTTTTCAAGAAGGGAATTTGGAATGCCAACAAATGCCTGAGGCCTTGCTCAATTTCCAGAGAATAGTTAGGGTGAATGATGTTCCCATACCTCATTTTTCTAAAGACAAATGTGCTTTATGCAACCCTGAATGTGCTGGGCTGTGAAGCAAGCTTCTCTGCTGAACTGTAAACTCCTGTTACCTAAGGAGCTATGATGATAAAAATGAACCTTGTTATATACATTGCATTCCAGTGCTCAGCTGCCTTAAGTGCCCTGGTTTCCTACTTTGGTTCTCCTGGCATTAATCAGGAGGCAACTTGGCCAGCTTCTCGCAGTATGTGTGTGCACCACATATGTGCAGTGCTGAGGAGGCCACCAGAGGGTGTTGGAACCCCTTAGAACTGGAGATATAGTCCATGAGGGTGCTGGAAATTGAGCCCAGGTCCTTTGGAATAGTCGTCAGTTCTCTTAACCACTGAGCCATCTGTTCAGTCGAATATATTACTATTCTTTTTTTTTCTTTTGGCATGGCTCTTTTCAGCTTACTGCATGAAGTAGTTACACTAGTCAAAGTTAAAAGCGGACCCCAAATGGTTACATTATACAAGCTGCGAGGTTTTTAAACTTATGACAAGGGACAGGAGGGCAATTCTACTCATTGTAAAGAAATCCTCACTTAAGCTTCAGAGAGTCACAAGCACTTAAAACCCATGAACCTTCAGCTGGTCGTCCTTAGCCAGTCCAGTCTCTATCAGGAACTGGCATATGTTCTTGCGCTGGTCACCCTGTAGCTGAATTACTTCTCCATATTCTGGATGCTCAACTACAGTACCATTGCAGGCAAATTTCTTAAACGCCTTCACTAGTTTCTTTTTATCGTAATCATCAGCAATCCCTTGGACGTGGTTAGGGTCTTCCTGCCGTTTCTCTGTTGAATTCTTATATGGATATAATCCTCAGTGCCAGCAGGAAGCAAGTCATCACCCTTACTTGAATCAGCAAAGGGGTCGAAAGAGCGGAGGTTCTGGATAGCGGACACACGATATGATTCCTTTACCTTGGTGGAAACAGCCTGCAGAAGGCAGTTGCGGGAGAAGGCGGGCAGGGGGAACGGAGCATAGGGAAGCCAGGAGGCTCAAGGGGGAGGCAGCTGAGTCCTCGGTGGCGGTTCAGTGACTGGGATATTACTATTCTTAATGACAGCATGAAAGCATTTTAAAAATTAATTTACTAATCTGGTAAAGGCTTTTTACGTAAGTACTCAAAGAAAGCTTCTTGACAAAAAGAATGAAAGTAAAAATAAAATGTGTGCTTCTTAGTAATGAAGTCTTATGTTTTAAAACCATTTTCCCCCCATAGAGTCTCACAAATACTGTTTTGAGACAGGGTCTCACTATGTATCCCAGGCTAGCCTTGAACTCACAGATTTGCTTGCTGCCTCTGCTTTCTGAGTGCTGAGATGAAAGGTATGCACCATCATGTCCACATCTGGCCACAAATACTTTTTTAAAGTTACATTTATTCATTTATTTGGTGTGTAAATCTGTGTGTGCATTTGTGCATGCCATGGCAAATGTGTGGAGGTCAGAAGACAATTTGAGGGAATAAGTTCTTTCTTTCTACCATGAGGGTCATAAAGATCACACTCAGGCGGTCAGGCTTAGCAATTAGGCACATTTACCCAGGGTTACCTAATCAGTCCACTTATTTTTTTTTTTGTTATTATTTTTAATTACTCATATCAGTTAGCTCGAGGTACTTATACAACAGCCCACTTATTTTTAAGGTTAGAAAACTTAGATTCCAGAAAAGCCAAGCCTGAAGAACTGACTTACAACAAGATTACAATTATAAGCAAAAAGTAGCTTCAGAACTGTATGCATTGTCATCTCATTAAAAATCTCTATGTAAGCACACAGACAGAACAGGGTTTAGAAACATGTAAGCCAGCATTTAAAGCGGCTATTTTGAACCAAAGAAGATTGTGTGTATGTGTGTGTGTGTCTTGCTTTAGTTATTTATTTTTGGTATTTATTTTCTTATTTTGCTTGAATGATCATATATTGTTTTACCTATATTAAAAGAACAGAAAATGTTCTTTGTCAAGCAATAGCTAAGAAAACTGAGGTCTGTTGTTTCCACTACAGCATTTTATTTATTCATTAAATCACTAAGAATATGTATGATCTACAGGTAATTGTAATGTCCCCAAAATACAGTAATAGTTCTCTCTTTGGATTTTATCATTATAGGACAGACTACTCTCCCCATTTTGGGATAGAGGCTTTGATATGTAGTACAAGCTGGCTCTAATCTCACAATCCAGCTGCTTCAGTCTCCTTAGTCATTAGGATTACAAGTGACTGCCACTGCACTCTTTAGACAACCTACTTCTGTTGGTCTCCCTAAGTAGTTAATTTATACAAATGTAATACTTTACTATAGAACATATAACTAAGGATTGCCTCCCCCCCAATGTTTTAGGACAGTATTTTATTGCATAGCTCAAGTTGATGCTGAACTTAAAAAGATCCTTATGCCTCAGCCTCTCAAGTGTTGGGGTAGCATTGAGTATACCACTCTACCTAGTGAGTGACAACTTAATGGCAGAGTTACAACTATTTAGTTTAAGACCTAAAGACATTTCTCTAAACTGGAATTGAATGTTAAAACTACATAATTAATGCAGGGTATCCTTTGCCAGTAGACAGCTTAAAGACAGTTAATTGTAGAGTCTTGAAATTTCTGGCTGGACCACTTTGTGACATCTTTCTATTCATAATTACTCATGGAAAGATGCCAAATCTTAGAGAGTAGAACATGCATGAAGTACTTAGCTGAGAATACAATATACAATATTTTTATTTACTTTGCAGTACTGGTGCTCTACCCAGAACTTTGCCAAAGTCAGACAAGAGTTCTACCACTGAACTACAACTCTAAGCACCACATAAAATTTTAAGATAGTATCTATTTAATTACAACCTCAGCTCCACAGCAAAGATTTAAGACAGTATCTATTCAAATCAAACTGTATTCTGTATTCTACTTAGAGCTACCTCAGGGCAGCATTTCCAAAGGGAGAGAATCACAGAATTAATGTGAGGCTGTGCAACCAGCACTGTGGCTCACTGATGATGGTGGTGGAAACAAATTTCCCACTTCGGATTCTATTCCCTTTTTCTATCACTCACTCTCTTTGAAGGTCAATTCTGCCCCTTAAGAGCTACTTCTTTTTTAAAGGTCTCATATAACCCAAGCTGGCATTGAGCTCACCATGTAGTCAAGGATTACCTTGAACTCCTGATACTCCCACCTATCTGCCAAGTGCTGGCCTAGCTAAGAATTGACTTTATGAATCAAAGACAAAGTTGGGTGTGGTCACTCAGGTCTTAAATCCCAGCACTATACTAGGGAAGGGGTAGGAACTGAGGCAGGACTGCTACAATACACCTGAGGCCATGCTTGGCTAGGTGATGAGTTCCAGGCCACCCTGGGCTATAGTACGATACCATGTTGGAAAACCAAAGTTGGCTTAATTATTGTTGCAAGATTTTTGTTCTTAAGGTCTATAGTCCTTGAGGGATAAGAAGTAACCAAAGCACTCATGCCTGAAGCAGACAGTTGAATTCTAATATATTTATAGTGGAAAATATTAACATACGAACATGTTGGCAGCACCAGTTAGGCTCTCCTTTTGCTCAAGGAGACAGATATGGAAGCCAATGACAGACTCTTTTCAGAAAGCATCCTTTGCATGGATGAGGTTTCTTGATGAGCATCATTTTTTTTTTTTTTTAAAGAAACTGCCAAAGCAAAAAGTATC